AATTTTGAGCCGATGTCACGACAGTGCACAACGCAAATTTGAGACGGCGCGCAACGCGAGAACTGTATTTCGCAGTTCAAAACTCCCGCCATGCGCCCTCCAGCAACGCGCGTAAAGCAGACGGCACGCGCTGTTTCCGGAGGAGAGGTCGCTGCACGTGCGTTTCTTGGCTACCACCGACAGCGGAGCGCTCCGCGAACGTCTCGCCCTTTTCTTTTCTTTTGTCTCTTTATATTCTCTCTCTCCCCTTTCTCATGGCGCTGAGGCGCGCTTCCTAATCTTACATACCCCTTTCCCCTTGAGTAACCGGTTCCTAGAGGGCAGCGCAAAAGAGCGCCCCTTCTGCCCCTTCCTCTTCACAGTCACTTTCTCTGCAAGTGTTGTCGCTCGCCGACGTGAGCCGCGGTGTGTGTTTCTTCTCTTTTTCGACCGCTTCCGCCTTATCTTTTATCGTGCTGCGCTCGTGATTCCAGCAACATGAATGCGCCAGGCGGGAAGGGAAAGCGCATAACGCTAGATCAGAAGGCGGCTATGATAAGAGCCGTCGAATCGGGCACCAAGAAAGGCAACGTGGCAAGAGACTTTGGCGTATCGACGAGCACACTGTCAATTATCTTGAGCAAGCAGGAGTACATCATCGACGCTGTTGCACGTGGCGTGAAAGGAAGCGCTAAGAGGATGAGGGCACCTTCCTTTGAAGCGCTCGAAAGGGCCGTTTTTAAATGGTTCTTGGACACGCGGGCCGTGAATCTGCCGGTGAGCGGAGCCTTGCTACAAAGAATAGCGAGAGACTTTGCCTGCATCATGGGCTATGACAACTTCGTAGCAAGTTCGGGTTGGCTCCAAAGCTTCGAGGAGCGCCACGACATTGTCGGGAGAGCGGTCTGTGGCTAAATTGCAGTCTGTCGACGAAGCAGAGGCTACCAAGTGGGCGAAAGAAAACATCGTGCGGCTGCTAGAAAAATACAGCGCGGAGGATATTTTTAACGCGTACGAAACCGCTCTCTTTTTCAAGATGTTGCCGCACAAGACGTTAGCCCTCAAAGGCGAGCCGTGCCATGGCGGCAAACAAAGCTGCGGATCACTGCGCTACATTGTGCAAACATGACCAGCTCTGAGAAGCTGACAATTTTCGTAATTGGCAAAAGTGCATCCCCTCGCTGCTTTAAGGGGAAGAGGCAGCTCCCAGTCAAGTACATAGCCAATCGCAAAGCCTGGATGACCAGGGAGATTTTTTCAAAATGGCTTTGCGAATAGGACGAGAAGCTGGCAAAGGCGAACCGCAAGGTGTGCCTTGTTTTAGATAACTGCACCGCCCACCATACCGCTGCCGTGCTTCAAAACATCGAGCTGCTGTTCCTTCATGCCAACTGCACAGCAAAAATACAGCCGCTTGACCAAGGCGTGATTATGTCGCTGAAGGCAGGTTACCGCAAGCGGTGATAGACAAGCTCCTGCTCAACATGAGGATGAAGCGAGACACCGATGTTGACTTGTACGCTGTGCTCGAAATGCTTCAGGCGGCGTGGATGAGTGTGACGGTGACCACGATTGCAAACTGCTTTTGACAGGCCTCATTTGCCGCCGCACCAGACGCCAGCGATGAGCCATCAGGCCAGCCCACTGTGCCGGATGGTTTTGCCACATCAAACGAAGTCGCTGCATCATGGACGGCACTTCGTGACGCCGGTGTCGTGCCTGACAGCGAGTCGTTTTGCGACTATGTGAGTGCGGACTCGGAAGTGGTGGCAACGGAGCAGCTCCTGGATGTCGATATTGTGCGCGCTGTCAGTGATCGTAACGAAACCAGTGACGATGGCTCTGTCGACGAACAGGAGACAAACGTGCCGGCGGCGTTGGAGGCATTAGACGTGGTGGACGTACTGCGGCGCTACTTCGGCGCTCACGAGGGCGGCGAAGATGGCTTGAACATTGCGGCCGCAGCTGAGAGAGCCATCGTTCGCATCAGGAAGATGCATCAACGTCCAATTACGGACTTCTTTGCAGCTAAGTCTGCCTGAAAGGCAAGCTGTGTATTTTGAAGTGCATTAAAACAGGTGCATGACTTTTTCCTTTTCATTTGGGAATGTGGTTATTTTGTTGCATACCACCGTGCGGCGGGATGCTATTTCGCCCGCTATTTTTTTGGGGGTAAGTACAGTGCATAATGTTTGCGGTAAATGCCCGCTACGGCTATAACGAAATATTGGTTATAACGAGCGAATAGCGGCGGCCCTCCAATTTCTTTATAACGAGGTTTAACTGTAGCATCGCGGTGCTGCTATGTACTTTTCTTTCCTCTTTTGGGACTTGTTTTTTTTTCTTTTCGGAAGGGGGGATAATGCCACTAGCAGGTAGTGGGTCGCAAGAGCAAATCTCAATCTGGAGGAAAAAGAAGATCGTGTGCTTCTTCTCTGCTTGAGAGCCAGCTAGGACTGACGCATCGTCCTAGAGCTAGCTACCTGGTGGTTTAATAAATCCCCCCAGTACTTGTAACACATCGTGACAGTATGATGGAGTGCGAGGGCAGCTGATAATTGCAGTTGTAGCAGAGAGGTAACCTGCCAGCAATCTTGGAATGTGGTCTTGTTGGGGGTATTTGTCTCGGGCATAGACTGCGTGTTCACTTTTTAAGCACGCAACAAGCGTGAGGATTGAAGAGAATGACGGGGGCGCAACTGTGTCTGCGCCATTCTTGTCAGTCCTTGTCCCTGTCTTTGTGCGATCGAAGTGAGCATGCAGTTTGAACATGCGCGAAGCATACCCCGTTTCAAGGAACTGCAGGCTTTGCTAGGCCTGGTGCATTTGTGCGTGCCCTATCTAACGAAACAGGGATTGCAGACGTTTCAGAATTTCGTAGCTGCTACTTCCTTGCCACACTGTTCGGTTCAAGTGGTATACAGCAGCATCAAACAGCATCACTTTTTGCAGTGGACTCATTTCCCCATGGGAGTATTTTGTTGAGTTGCACGAGGTTGCATGCTCAAGGAGTTAGCAGATAGTCTTACGTTGTGTAGGATTGCAGTTGAAGGGACATTAAAGTCAAATAACAATTTACGCCGGAGTGTAAGGTCAATGTATGACAATGTCTAAAGCGACAATATTTTCAAAAGCAGTGCCCTACTTAGAAATTAAAGTAAATGCACAAGAATACATGTGCTGCAGTAAGTCATTCTCAAAATTATCCCAATCATGTCAGACAAACTGCCTACAATTAATCGCTAGTAATCGATCTACTGCACTAAATAAAGAACTTACCGTGCATCAAGGGACACAATGAAATGCTGCTTGTACGTTTGTAATGCAATTTTATTTAAAAATGAGTCCTTTCTTGGCACAGAAGTATCACTACGTAGTTTCTGGACCGCTACTTTAACAATCAGCGCCGACTTAATACTTGCCTTTAGTGTCCCTTTAAACTAGTGGTGGTCACAATTTTCGCTTGGCACTGGGGGTGAAACTGGCGACTTCTGTGGTAATTTCACATTCTGAAAAGTTTAAAAGAGCAATTTTAAGGACAAAATAAAAGTGCATGTGCGGAGCTTAAGCATTGAAACGCGACAGATTTTTTTGTTTGCAACTGGTATGAACAATAGTGAAACATAACTGTGTCGTTTCACTGTGACTGTGGTGGCTAAAGGTAAGGTTGGTTCTGATGTAAGTGCTTGAATTGAAATTCTGCTGCGATAACACAGTGATGACAAGGAAAACGAGAGTGAACGTTTAGTCCTAAATTGTCTCTTTTCGATTCACTATAATGGCACACTGTTGTACAGGAAAATGAAGTGCAGTGTGTGTTGCGTCTTCTTCTTATAGCGACGCAGCATCACCATTCTGATTGTGGCATTGCTTCGTGCCACAAAGAAAGAGCACGAAAAAACAAATCTGACAAACGTATGATATTGGAGTGGGAAACACGTTGTGGGAATTGAGGCTAGCTCGCTGCCATTGCGTGGATTTTGTTGCCTATTTCTGCCGTACTCACGTCTTAACATGACTGTCCCCTCCTCCGCGGTCCGTCAGTGCTGGGAAAGCGAGAGTGACGTTGACATTTCTCTCCCGGCAGCGAATGTCGTCTGTGGCGCCGTGCTCGTGCCTCGCAAGACAGCGCGCCCGCCCTGTGTGAGTGAGAGATCCTCTCCGGACAGCGAAGGATGAGCACGCCTTTTCTCTCCCATCTGTTGGCTCCTTTTATTCTTGGAACTCTCTCAGACTCACCAAGAGTGCCTTGCATCCATAGCGAAGGCTGACCATTCGTTGGTCCTTTGGAACGGTAGGCAAGAAAGCGGTGCGGTGTGTTCACGCATGGTATTGCTAAGCCGAATCATGCCTCTTAAAGACAACGCGAGTGGTGTTTCCCTCGCTCGAGCAATAGGCCCTGTGGTCACTGATCGTAAGAGCATGCGGCATAGTCGTGAGGGACCGTTCCCTCAGCGATGTGTCATCGTGAGCCTTTTTGCTCGCGAGGACATGCTCGGGGCACTTGTGTGCTGTACTTTCGCCCGTGGCATGGATAAGCCTCTTTTGCTTTCCCGCCGCCTCTTGCAGAGAGTCCTGTTTTGTGTTTTTCTTTCACCGCAGGCAATAAAATGTTGGGACTTGTTGGAGAGCAGCACTGTGTACTTTCCGCGCCTCGCTTGGCGCCTTGGCTGTGCGCGCACGTGTGTGCAACGGCGTTAACGCTCGGCAATGGTGAACGCGGCCCTGTGGCTCGCTAAGGCTGAACCCACGCTAGTGGCCATACTCCTGCAGGGTACGTGTAAGCTATGTCTATCGCATTTGAAGGGGAAAGTGTTTGGCAGCATTTGTGACACAAGCAGCGCTACCCCACATGTAGCGTTGCATCGTTGCCACTCCCTGAAGCAAGTCGGACAGACGGCTCCTGTTAAGAAATGCACGATTGCACTCACATTGAAAGAAATAAGAGGCATTTGATGTACTGCTCAAAGTGTCGTGCATACACTTGACGCCTGTTCAGTATGGGAACTCTTTTCTTGCAGGGCCCCAACAACCAGCAGCAACAGCCGCAGCAGCAGTTGCCGCAGCAGCAGCAGCCTCAGCAGCAACAGGACGTCTCCGAGTTCACCCACAAGCTGCTCGAGTGGCTGGAGGATGCCTTCCAGCTGGCCCACTGTGCCAGCCCAGGCTCGTGAGTGAGCGCCTCACTGGTTGCAAGGCTCCTTACATTCTTTGTTACTGGGGTGGGCTAACTTGTGCAGTAGTTGTTGCTTATATTTAATTAGGGCACTGGAAAATGTAATGTACAGCATCTCAATCTTGACCAAAAGGGAAGCTTTTCTGAAATACGTGATTGTTTTCTTGTAAGATTCACAAACTTGGCTGTCTAAAAAATATCTTTAACCCAAAATGTATACCATGCAAAATAAGGACTGTATTTACTCGCTTAATAAGCGCACCCTCGTAATAGGCACTCCACGAACTTGGCTGTGATCAGCAGTTGTGTATTGTATTTGCATGGTTGCAATTAGTGCCCTCTTATGTTATTTGAGCAAGGGAAAAAAAAACAAAAAATGACCTCGGCCGTGCTGCGCCAGCTCTGCGGGTTCGCCGAGTGGGGAAGAAGGGCGGTTGCCTGGGCGTCAGAGTAACCTATGCACCGACACGCGGGTGTAGTTCTAGCCGCTAGCCCGCCACGCGAGCTCCGTGAGGAATGCGCTATCGCGTTGTCGTCAAGTGTGCATCGAGTTTCCTATCCAAAAAAACGTCGGCATTATCGAGCTTGCTACCTCGTTCGCAAATTTCAAAGCTATTTAGCTTTCCGTCGCAAGCTTGCGCCTTTGCTGCCACTTCGCTGAATCGCACAAGCTCGCGGACTGTTGTAGCCGTTGATTTTCTGGCCATGAACCTAAATATCATATTACGGCGCTTCTCTTGGACTATTGTTTGAGTGTGATCTTTCAGATGCCCAATGTTCATGTTGTCTTGTACCAACTTCCCGTGGCAACATGCTGAACTGTAGGCTAGGTCTAATCACTGTTTCTGCTTTTCAGTGGTGGTCGTGGGCGTTCATCTTGCGGTTTTTTTACTGAATCGAGGTAACTTTTTTTGGCGGCTCTACTTGATGGAAAGGGAGCTTGGATGGCACTTGTAACCTTCAAATGGTGGTTTGCGATTCGATTGCGATGTCTTGGATATGGGGTTTAAGTCCATGAAATCGAATGATCGGTACTGTTCAATGCAGAAATTACCTTCTGAAATGTAATTGGCGAATTTCCGCGATGCCACATTTTTTTTTTCGTAGTTTTTTTTTCGCATTTGTTTCGTTGGCAATAAGGGTTTTCCTATGTTAATTTTTGAAAATTTGAATGTATTGCTTGCTTTGATTTTCGGACGCGTGAGACTGCATGCTTAACACGTTTTGGGCTAGTGTAACCTACGAAAAAGGTAGTTTTGGCTGTAGAGCAGTCTATGCTGTAATAGGCACTCCCCAAATTTGGAGCCGGATCTTCTGGAAAAAAAATGTGCTTATTATGCGAGTATATGCGGTATTGATTGTATCTTCTGCAGAGTAAGTATTCATTACTTGCGTGTTTGTACATATAGCATTATTAAAACATAGTACATGCTGACAAGATATCGAGGTGTGTATATGGTGAAGAACGTTTACAGCGACAATATTGAGGTTTGGACACCTTAAACAAACTTATTTGCTTAATAAATACATGGTACTTGGTAGAGAAACAAGAAACCACTCTTGCACAATACATTTTCTGACCAAGTCTCTCGGAAGGCGTGAAATTTAAAAGGCTCCCACGTGGCAAACAAATTTTTTCTTTTTAGAATATACAGTAAAATCTCGTTCATTTGACCCCCGTTAATTGGGAATTTAATGTAATTCGGCCACAGCGTCTGGTACCGTCCAAATTGTACATTGTTCTATGACTGAAAACTCTCATTAGTTTGGGCAAACTCAGGCGCGCTTCGGGTAATTCGAACGTTCGACCGCAGTCGAGTCACGATGGGGAAGTAGCAGCAGATTCTGCCGGCCAAATCGACGGTGCACCTAAACAGCTTTGGGATCGGATTGTGGCCTCTGAGATTCAAAACTTCGTCCATGGGTAGTACATCTCGGAGGTACCCCCCCCCCCCCCCCCCCCCAAAAAAAAGAAAAAAGAAAACCCAAGGTGGTCGAAATCAAGGAGGTTAAAGCTTCTGGAGGTACTAAAGCTTCTGGAGTGGTGGTCTCGCATACGCGCCCATGTATTAAAGTGAAGCCGCGGAAACCGGGCGGCGGCCATATTGCTCAGGGCCCAAGGAGGCGGCGTTTGCCTTGTGCCGCTGTAGTGTCCCCGTGCGCTTGCAGCCGTGCGTTCCGTTATAGCACTGAAAGCACCTGTTTTTCGTGGAAGGGGGGGGAAGAAAACTTTGGAGTGACGTGACTATTTTTTTCTTGACTCTTGCCTTTTTAAGAGTATTAAAAAATGGTACACTGGTGTATATGAGTTTGCACTATATGTTTACACAGTTGCCTCTCTGCAGAAGTGCCGTGTGAGCAGATACAGCGGAAATAAATTTTGAGGGAGTAAGAAGATGTACAACGCTAGCTGGTGACGAAAATAATGTGTAACATATAATACAATAAATGCAACGAAACGGATGTTGACAACTGCGCTAGTGCAAACGGAAGGTGAACGTAATAACTATGTTTTTATTCACTTTTCGCCAAACTGCGCCAGATAAATGATAAAGACTAAACGAAATGTTGGATCTCGCAACAAAAATACAGTAACACTAACAACGATCGAGTTACATCAAACTGAAACATGTCAAACATTGTTTTCCACTTCAAATATTTTTGAAAATGATCTCTCTAGTTAGCAACGTGCGCACGTTTTTGTTGCAATTCGCCTGATTCATTCCCTTCGAAATGTGGTGAATTCTTGTTCTGATGTAGAGGCTAGCAATTTTTTTTGATAGGCTTTAATTATGATTGTCAAGTGAGTCACAGTCGAAAGGTCAGGTTCCAGCTGAACAAACAATGCCCGCCGATGCACGCACCTCGTTTGCCGATACACGCACTTTCTGCCTGTATCATTCCTTCGTGGGCGAAGATTGCAGGGTGGAGACTTCGGCAGCTTCATCAGTGATGGGTGCTTCAGGCGAAGGCGTTTCCCAATTTTTTTGGAGGAGCTCGTTTTCTTTTTTGCCTTTCCTTTTTTTCTTGCATGTCGAACACGTTTGCGTGATGGCTGAGTTGGATTGCTCACCTCTAGTGTGCTTTAAATTATTTAGCTGTACGTGATCAGTGCCATCTGCAGTCTTACTGCTTGCTGTTTTTTGAAAAGTTCACTTGTTTTTATTTCATTTTTATCACCATGCATTTTTGTGTGTGTGGGGTTTGTGCTTACTTTGTGCGCGTGTGGGAGCGACCACCGTGCGAGTGACTCTGGGATGGCTTTCCCTCCATCTCCTGTGGCCCCAACTCCCACAGCGAAGAGGGCGAAGTATGAAGTAAAGGATTTGGCTGCAAAGGTGAAAATATTGAAGGCGTTGCAAGCGGGAGCATCTCGAAAAAAAGTGATGGAAAAGTTCAATGTGAAGAAAAGCATGCTGGGCACTTATGTAAAGAACGAAGAGCAGATTATGCAAGCATATATATGATGGGGACATGTTTGGCGACCAAAGGAAGAGGCTTCGAACGGCAGGGCATCCTAAGCTAGAAGAGCTGTTATGCTGGATTGCCGTTTAACGCAATGTGCGCTTGCCCTTACCGGCCCCGTTACCTGCGCACAGCAGAAAAATTCACGGTGACCATAAACATTGACTCCTTCAATGCATCGGAAGGCTGGTTCAACCGCTTCAAGAAGCGACACGGGCAGGTGTCCCACAAAGTGTGTGGTGAAAGAGGTGCAGTTGAAGAAAGTGTTGTGCAGGACTGGTAGTCTGGACTATCCTCGCGCCTTTCTGTGTACGAGCCATGCTACATTTTCAACGCTGATGAGACAGCGCTGTTCTATAAGGCCCTGTTTGATAAGACAATCGCATTTAAGAGAGACGCGTGCGTCGGTGTAAAACAAAGTAAAGAGCGCGTGACAGTTCTTCTGGTTGCTAACATGATCGGCACAGAGCGGCTGCCGCTGCTGGTAATTGGAAAGGCTGCGAAGCCAAGATGTTTTCAGAATATTAAGTAGCTGCCTGTCAACTACCGGTCCAACAGAAAGGTTTGGATGACTGCCAAACACTTTCAAGTCTTGCTGCGTCAGCTCGACCGGCGCTTTGCAGCTAAGGCTCGAAAGGTGCTGTTTGGGCTAGGCAATTGTACTGCACACACGAAGGTGTCTGGGCTCGATAACATTGAACTGCTATTCCTGCCTCCGAATCCAACAGCCTCCCTGCAGCCGAAGGACCATGGAATGATACACTTCGTGAAAAGCCGCTATCTGCGGAAGGTACTGGATTGGATGTTGCTCTGCGTGAAGTCAGGCAAGCAGTATGAAGTAAGCCTCCTAAGTGCAATCTACATGCTGATGTACATACGTGTGGAACAACAAACAGCCTGAAGTAGTTGCAAACTGCTTTAGGCATGGCGGCTTTGTGCACGATGCTGCTGATTCGGGGGTGGTGGCCGATGATGAAACCCGCAAAGAGCAAGACGGCCGCAATGTGAGCATCATGCCAGCTGATGTGCCCCTGGGCGGTTACTTCGCAATTGACAGCGATGTTGCCACGGCCGGCACAGTGACTGCCAGTGATATCGTCGCCGAAGTCTTGGATGGCGAAGGGAAATCGGCCGATGAGGACGTAAGTGATGCTGATGAGTGTCCATGCCACACTATGACGGAGGCTGCGCTTTCTTTGGCCATTTTGGAGGACATATGCATGCTTTCCTCGTACAGTGTGCGTTGACTAAGCCACCTGCAGGAACTTCGCAAAGTTGTGACTTCGTCGCACATTGCGTCCGTGAAGCAAACCGCAATCAGAGACTTTTTTTAAGAAATAAGTCTGATGGTGTAAAAGACATTCTTCAAGTGTTTTGTTTGTACTCACCATAATTCGTACCCTCGGTTAATTCGGACATTCACTCTGGTTCCGGGAAGTCCAAATTAATGGGGTTTTACTGTAGCAGTTCACTATTCTCAATGTGAAAAATCAATGCGATTTTTTTTCACCACATTTTTGAAGTGTTTGCCATATAGTGGGAATGCCACACTGGAGGGCAATAATGGATAAAACAGTTATTTTCGGCTGTCCTTCCCACTTCATTTTGAAAGGATTCACAAAGAGCTCAAATAAATATGAAAGCAACATTTTTTTGTCTTTGCAGCATACCTCGCATGGCACAGACAAACCCAATGCTAGACCTTTTCTACGGACGCTTTCGATGTGAGGGCGAGAATGAAGGTGAGCAATCTCGCGTGCTCGGAGTGCATGTTCTTGCGTAAACACTTCGTTTCGTTGTGATAGCAGTTACAAAGGACCCTGTACAGATGTTTGCTGCTGTCAGTGTTATCATGTTGTTATGTGTGAAGTCCAAAGGCAAAGTAATCCTATAATGATACACCGAGGCAGTGCAGTTAGTGCGCCTTGAGGTGAGCATGCATCTCTCCCTCTAGTCAGCCCAGTCTTGTACAGCATTACATGACTTACCTTGCCGGTAATCTGCGGCGAGCTTGAAAACCAGTTTGGCTTGTGACATGGCCTGAGCCATGTTCCTGCACGTCTAGGGTGAGAGGCCGTCTCACCTAAATGTTTCAGAGAGGTGTTTCACGAGTTAGGAGATGTAATTTGTTGGCTGCTTGTCTACCTGAGCTGATCGTGCCCGTGTTGACAGCAAGTGTGTGTGTTCGAGTGAGATTGGGTATCTTCTAGAGCTGTGAACCTCATTCTTGTGTGCTCATCCTTCAAGCTTCAACCACTGTTTTCCAGAGAAAATGCATATTTATTTTTTTTTTTGCATAGATGCCGATTGTCTCAAACGTCAGTTTCGCTGTATTTGCAAATCAGTGAATGTATAGCAACTAAACGAAATATCGTGTGAAGTAAGCCTAGCAGCTAACTGTCTTAGCATTCAATCTGGCCTAATTCACAGAAATGGTGCTGCAAAAAAAAAATATGGTTGATGAATGAGTGGAGTGACTTGTCTTGACTGTCTGTCGCTTCAGTGCAAATTGAGTGGCGAGACCTGCATGTAGAAAGATACGAGCCAGTTACGGGCTCGTATAAGATTGGACACATGCAACCACACCTCGCTGATTAAAGTAGTCTAGGCTCATGCAAATATTCGAATGCTTTGAATATTTGAGCAAATAATGCAGTATTTAAATCTGCTTTCAATTGGGTTTAGATTATTGAAAATTTTGAATTCTTGAAACGCACAAATCAGCACATATTAATCCGCATGTGACAAGCTGTAAAGGTGGTTTCACTGCAATAGAGCGGTGATAAGCCGTGAAAGTGCATATCTAGGGGAAATCCGCACTGCCACGAAGTTTCACTTTATAGTTAAATGAGAATATTACCCTCAAATCGATTCGTTAAGTTGAAAAGATTGTTGTACAGGTTAAGGGGCTCTAAGTAAAGCAACTTTAAAAAATAACCTATTTTACCTGTTATTACTTGCATTCTACCAAAAGTCAAGTTCTACAACTATTCATAGTTGTTTCTGATTGCTTTGGTGGAAAAAAAAGTATTTGCATAAGCCTTGTTTCAATTTTTAAAGAATATTGTGCTGGTTAGTTAGGTCAGGACAAATATGCCTATTTTTCGTTATATGTGATATATATATATAGACACTACAGTCGAAAACTGTTATATCGAACCCACATATATTGAATTTTCGGGTATATTGAACTCGCAAGTTATCACCTTGAAAATATTTTGTAAATGTATAGAAATTTGCATGTTTATATCGAACGATATTTTTACCCGCCTTCGGATATATCGAATGTCGCGCAAGCTAGAAGGTGTGCTTTGTCACTTTCTCCCTCCGCGATCTCCACGGCAGTGCGGCTCCACATGCAAGTTGGAAGACGTGCTTTTGGCACTCCGCGTGGCATCACGCCTCCGCCAAAACCCGAAACGCTCGAAAAAACGTAAGGGCGAGAGGGCTCGCACTGTGCTATCTTCAACTTACAGACCGTTTTTTGTTTTCATTTTTTTCTGTTTTTTTTTTCTCTCTTTTATGCTTTTTCCACTTACGCGTCGGATCAGAGAGCAGGAACAAAAGAGTCGACGTCCTCTTCCTTTCACCTTTTATGTTTTGTTGCCGTTTTGCGAGGTTTGATCAGCCAACCACAGCTCGCGCTTTTTGCTGTTGCCCTATCAGGTAGCCTGTTCTGTGGTAGCCATCACCTCGCAAGCGCTTTGTTACTCTCGAGCTGTCACGTCACCTACGTACCACCGCATGTGCAGCATTTTTATTTGCGTGCGTGGTGTGCAAAGCCGCTGCGGACTCCTTGAATTTTCGACTTCTCGTGTAGCTATGGCCAGTGTCGGGAAGCGCAAGATCCTTGACTTTGCGACGAAGTTGACGGCTATTCAGGGTGTTGAGGCAAGCGAGAAATGTTCGACTGTAGCTGACGACTTCGGGATACCACAGAGCACTCATGAGTACCATGTTGAAAAACAAGGCAGATATCAAGGCAAAGGCGGCAGAGCAGCAAAACGTCGGGAGCCTGTCATGTGCGCGCTTCTGCCCACGGGAATGTAGAAAAGGCACTCTATGCGTGGTTTTTAGAAGTGCGCGCGAAGAACATTCCGGTGGATGGCCTGATGCTGATCGCCAAGGCCAAATGGTTTGCCCCTGTACTCGGTGAAACAACTTTACCGACAACAGCGGGTGGCTTTACCGGTTTAAGCAGCGCTACAACATCGTTGGCAAAACCTTTTCTGGCAAAAGCGAAACTGTCAGTAGCCAGGACATCCAGCAGTGGATGACGAAGGAGTGGCCGGAAATCTCCGTGAAGTTTTTTCCTGCAGAGATCTTAAATGCCTGAAGAGACGTGAAAACGGACACAGTGGTCAACTGCTTCCGCAAGGCAGGCTTCAAGACGACGGAGCTTGCAGAAACTGGAGAAGACGACTAGCGCATAGACGATGTGTTTCACGAGTTGTGATAAGATCGAGACTAGCGTCTTCAACATTTCAAAAACGAAGAAAGCAGGCCAAGGTTAGCGATTTTTTTTTCTCGCCCTAAGAAATAATTCTGCTGCGGCGTGTGTGCGGAATCAGTTGTCATTCTTGAATGCACCTATTGTAGATGATGATCCGCTATAGGTAAGCTCTCCAGGCCTGTATTCTTTATATCGAATTTTTCACATATCGAACTGATTCGCAAACCCCTTCGAGTTCGATATATCCATGTTCGACTGTATTCGAATTCGATTGGAAATTATTTGAACAAAAGGATTATTCGCTTTAGGCTTAAAGATCACTTTTCCGCACAAGCTTAGTAGTTTCGACTAGGGACTGCCCTCTTGCCCCATGGGCTTTTCACCCTACAAAAAAAAAAAAAGGGGTGTTTTTCCTCTTCTCGAGCTAGGATTGTTGGCTGTCTTTGCGTGCTTTCACTCTAAATTAGAACTTGCAACGTGCGAGGTGATGTCATCAAGTTGGACTTAATACAGCACCTCACGCTGATGTCAGTGGCAATGGCAACAGCAAGATTGGGCCGGTAGCATCCACATAATTGCTTTTGCAACAAAATGTTTTTTGCTGTAGCTTGCGTATAATAATGTAATGGTGAAATGCTAGTAAAAGGTGAAAATGCGTGCGGAAAATAGTGTGAATTGTCTTAACCTAAAAGAGATCACTCGAAGAAGTCCTGTATTGTCTGTGGTGTAGGTCGGCACTTCTCCCGGGAGGAAGCCTTTGGCCAGTACCCTCTGCAGGTGAATGGCTTCAGTGACATCCATGACAGCCTAGAAGCAGCCACCACCAGTTTGGAACCCGAGAGTGCATCGACGTCACCTCGGCGACTGGGCCAGGAGGTTAGTTCGCCCATAATAAAGGGCCCTGAAACAATTTTTCAAGTAACCATGGAATAGATGCACTAAAACAGCTTATTGCCTCATGAATTCAACACTGCAAAAATTTTAAGAATCCGTTCAGTATGAGCGGAGTTACAAAGATTTGTCTCGCGCTGCAATCACGTTCTCTCTTCTCTTTTTCCGCCGAAAGTGCTGGTGGCTAAGCAGGGAGGGATGACAGGGGCAAAGAAAATACGTCATGCGCACCTAGTGACCTTGAGAACTTTTTTTTTTTCTTCGAATAAGCTACTTTTTTTCTGTGATTATACGCATGGAGAAGTTGCGGCCTCCTGCGGCGATCCTTGTAACGACCAAGCGCGTCATGTTCGAATCTGCCAATGGCTGATGTACGGCTTTTTACCCCCGATTTTTCAGCGTCTTCCGTCATTTATTGAAAGAAGAGAAAGCAACTTTTAGCTGAATTTGATAATTTATTGTGAATTTCAGGCCGCGTGCTGCGCTATAATATTTGGCTCGCGTGTTCTCGGGAGCCTCTACTATTGACCGGCAGCGTTTTCTGACCATGCTCTAAAAGTGTTGCAGAGCCTTTTTGAGGGGAGATACTGGTCTCGAAAGTGAAGGTTTTTATTATTAGAGATATTTTAAAGAAATTTTAATGTGTGTGTGTTCCTTTCACCTGTTTTTGAAAATATAATTAGTTTCAATTAGTTCTCTATTTATGTTAAAATAAGTAAAGTATGTAATTAGGTCATTTCTAACTGGCCATTGAGGCACTTTCCCTCAACAGTTTTTCGTTCAGTTCAAGATGCAGTTGTAGCCAAATATCTACTACCGTATTTACTCGCATAATCCTCGCACTTTTTTTGCCGGAAACCTGATGCAAAGTTAGGGGGTGCGAGAATTACGCGGGGAAAACTTTCCACGAAAACGCAGAGAGCGAAAAAAAAAAAACGAAGTGGCTACAAATCGGCATTCTCACACCAGCAACTTACAGCAAGCTTTACAAAGTACTAATTAGAACTTACCTCAAAAATAAAAGCAGAGGTTCAACACAAGGCAAGATTTATTTGAGACATAAAAATTGGAAGCAAATAGTAGAGAATTAGAATATCATACCCGAAGCTTGTGGGCGTTGCGGGCGTAGCGGTAGCGGTCAGCGCTCAACAGGAGCCCTCAAAAGGTAAGCGTAGGACGTCAGTATTGGGCTGATGGCTATTTAACAGAATCGTCCATAGTTTCCTTCTGGAGAAATAAAGTTTACCATCAATCCCAGTTTTAGGCACACGGCAGGCCCAACGCGTCTTGATGGCTTTCAGCTGCCGTCACCAGTAGCAAACACAAAACTCGTAGGCTCCGAAGGGCCTACCGGCGTCCCTGTTGCCGTTGTTTAGCGTATGATCTATCACTTGCAACTTGAAGCAGCCGTGTGGCTTCAGTATCGCCCCATAACGTGCCAAGATAACCGACACAACATACAAAACACGCCGCAACGCGCACTGGCCACTTCGGCTTGGCTTGGGTTGGATTGAATCTCCGTGCAATAGTATGCTTGATGCTTAAGAGATGGCGCCAAATGGCGCGCGCTATCATCATCAGTGGCTGGAACGAGCAGACGACTTTATTGCGGCAGTTTTCCGGGGTGCGATAATTACTCGAGGAAAAATTTTTTTCGTATTTATCTTGGGCGATGTTGGGGGTGCGAGAATTACGCGAGTGCGAGGATTATGCGAGTAAATACGGTATGTGGAGCTATGCTATTTATGTTGATGCTGGTACATATCATCCTATAAAAATTTTCATTTGTGTTGACGCTCCATAATTCTGAAGTGTAAGTAGCTCACGTTATTCTCAAAATTTTATATAATCAACCTAGCCATAAAAAAATAGCATAGCTCGACAGTTGATTCCTTACCAGTTTAACGGTATTACATTTATTGAAATTGGCTTACAAAAACATAATGAAAAGTTCTGTAAGAATAGTCTGGCTGGCAAAAAATGTGAAAATGAGAAAATCGCATTTGATGTTTCAACACTTGCTGCAGAAATGTCTGAAAGGAATCTTCAACTATAAATTTTATTTAAATGTTCCCTATCTGTTTTCCTGCTAAACAAAACAAAGTATCTTATTTCATCCACAAAATCATTTTTAACTTTTTGGAAAGAAATGTTCTTTCTTAGTATGCAGGGAACGTTCTATGAAGAAGACAGATAGGACAGAGCGCACACTTCAACCAATTTATTGCACAGATGGCGAGAATATATATACACTGTTAAGAGGGTGAGGAGATGACACACAGAAAAAAAGAGAAAAAATGATGGCACATTTGCCAGAACATCTTATTCAAAGCTTGAAATGACAATTTAACTGAAAAGATACTTGTATTCGTTGTCCAACAGATTAGCAGACTTACACACTCAGTTTCTGCTTTGCGAATAAGGTCGCTTCGTGTATTTCACGTGCCTTCTTGTCCCTATATCTTGCCATTATTTGGCATTCGTCAAACTTTGGGGTGCACCCATAACTGGCACAGTGACTTGCCAGGTGGCTGCCCATTGACCCGCGCATAAGATTTGCATGCTCCCTAAGGCCATCGTTCATTTGTGCAATAATATGGTTGCAAGTGTGCGTCCTGTCCTATTTGTCTTCTTTATGAGACGTTCCCTGCGCTATAACGAAGTATATTTCTTTAAAAAATGCAATACCAACCAGCTCAAGTAGCCACTCTTTTGAATTTCTAAAAAATTACGAATGTGGGAAGCATGATCTGAGCCAGACCATGACAAGTGGTCGGGGGCGGAGGGGCCTGAAAAGACCATGGGTTATAAGACTAAAGCCACTGGTTCGTCGTAAATTAATGAGAACTAAATTCTCATTAATTAACAACCTGGATATTAATCATTAATTAACCACATGGACATTAGGCAGCATGCTGCCCTGTGTCTCTTCCACTCAGCCATGCGCAGATGTAGCGTTCTGAGACAGTGCAGGAAACGGCATAGATATCGCATTTCCGACTAGTGGGTTTTACTGAGAGGCGGTTAGCTTGGCTGCAAAATCATGGTGAAACCGAACGGATATACCTTCACCCTTCGCTCAATCGACCTTGTAAATGGAGCATGACATGCGCTCTCTGTTCCACTGCTCGCGCGATCATTCTGCACACAGAGTGGATCGTAAATGTAAGGATGCCTAATGAGTATTGGCTCCGCCAAACTCTTGTCCTGATGGTGCATTTCCAGCCAGCGCCTTCTTGTTCAAAGCCCACTTTTTACCACTTCTAAAAGCTCGTTGCGAGGATGGTTTGAGACGAGAGTCTTCGGGCGTCTCGATCACGGGGAAAACTACGAGAGCAAAGCATAAACGCGACTCGTGAAGAACATGCACAAGTGCAATCGGACAGCCATGGTGGCAAACGCACAAGAAAAACAAATTGGCCCCGTATGTGCATTTAACCTGCAAATGTCGTCGAAAGACGATAGTCTTGCATGTGGAGGGAGTGAACAAAACATTTATTTGATGTTCTGCTCAGAAAAATCGGTGAATGGTATTCTGGAGGCACTGCGTTAGAATGCCTCGAGCGTGCAACGGAGGCGAACGAGCGCATCAAGGCACGTCACACGTGAGACATGACCGCCATCTGGCAGTTTTTATCAAAACCAGAGCGCGTGGCTCTGAGACGGGTGTGCGCGCCCGCCTCAGAGGTCATGAGGTGTAGAACGCAAGGCCACGGGTAGGTGCCACCGCCGTCTCGTTTTAGCAAAGCGTTGGAAACGCTCGCCTTTCCGTGCAAGCGTTGGATGGTCAGCACAGCGTGATAAGCGCTATGGTCCTTAAATTACTTATGTATGCCTTTTCTAGTGAAGGGCGCACATGCAGAATATATACGTGTTGTTATGGTGCCCCAGACATGCAGAATAATTGCTTTTTAATCGACAATTGCACAAGCATGAACGCTTAATCTTGAGCAACATAGGTGGGAGCTGCGGATGGGGTCGGCCATTTCAAATATCCGATGCTGTTAAGAGTGGACAAACGGACAAATGTACAGACAGACAGACAGACAGACCAAAGTTTTTTGCGTCGAAGGTCCCCAAGAAAGACTTGGCTTTAAAAAATTCCACATGAGTTACGGCAGGCAATGGCACACGCGGGATGGGGCTTTTGAAAAGCGCACTGACCACATCGGACAATGGGAGGCTCGAAATGCGCGCTGAGTGAGAGCCAATGAGCAACCCGAGAACGATTTTCAGAAAACCCGTGACAGCTGCTATTCTGCTTGGGTGATGCCATTTCAAGATGGTGCGAATTTCGCACAAAGGAAACTGCTTCAAATTTAGCTCAAGATAGTGGCACTTTGCCAGCTGCAACACTCGTAGCATACGCGAAGTTCGAACAAATTTCGTTCTTCTGGGGGCATTTTACTGCTGCTGGGGTGCCTTGAAGGCCAATTTTGTTGCATTTGCAGACCGAATTTAGCATTAGCAATTTGAGAGTAGGTGATTAGAAGTACAAACATTCTGAAAATAAGTTTTATTTCGATAGCAATTTTGTGGAGAGTCTCGGTTTCTGCCGCCCCCCGAGCGGCTGTCATTCACTTGTATGTGTATGTATGTATATATATATATATATATATATATATATATATATATATATATATATATATATATATATATATATATATATACGTGTACCTGAAGCAGCCGTGTTCTCTTCCATCATCGTTTTATAGAGTTACGCGAGATCAAATTTAAATGAGTTGACCGCCAGCCTTACTTCGTATAATTTATATTCACCACTGTATCTATTGAATGCTATATTTTCTGCCTTTAATTCATCATCATCATTAGCCTGACTATGTCCACTGCAGGACAAAAGCCTCTCCCATGTTCCGCCAGTTAACTCGGTCCTGTGCTTGCTGCTGCAAATTTATACTCGCAAGCTTCTTAATCTTATCTGCCCAACTAACCTTCTGTCTCCCCCTAACCCGCTTGCCTTCTCTGGGAATCCAGTCAGTTACCCTTAATGACCAGCGGTTATCCTGTTTACGCTCTACATGTCCGGCCCATGTCCATTTCTTCTTCTTGATTTCAGCTATGATATTCTTAGCCCCTGTTTGTTCCCTAATCCATTCTGCTCTCTTCTTGTCTCTTAAGGTTACACCTGCCATTTTTCTTTCCATTGCTCGCTGCGTCGTCCTCAATTTAAGCTGAACCCCCTTTGTAAGTCTCCAGGTTTCTGCTCCGTAGCTAAGTACCGGCAAGATACAGCTGTTATATGCCTTCCTCTTGAGGGATAGTGGCAATCTACCTGTCATAATTTGAGAGTGCTTGCCAAATGTGCTCCACCCCATTCTTATTCTTCTGGTTACTTCAATCTCGTGGTTCAGCTCCGCGGTTATTACCTGCCCTAAGTAGACATCGTCTTTTACAACTTAAAGTGTACTATTACCTATCTCGAAGCGCTGTCTTTTGCGAGGTTGTTGTACATTACTTTTGTTTTCTGCAGATTAATTTTAACACGCACCTTTCTGCTCTCTTTGTCCAACTCCATAATCATGACTTGCAATTCGTCCTCTGAGTTACTCAGCAATGCAATGTCATCTGCGAAGCACAGGTTACTAAGATACTCTTCATTACTCTTATCCCTAACCGTTCCCATTCTAGGCTTCTGAAAACCTCCTGTAAGAACGCGGTAAATAGCATCGGGGAGATTGTGTCCCCCTGCCTTACACTCTTCTTGATTGGTATTCTGTTGCTTTCTTTATGAAGCACTATAGTAGCAGTTGATCCCATGTAGATTTCTTCCAGGATGTTTATAAATAATTCATCGGCGCCCTGATTCCGCAGTGCCTGCATGACGGCTGATATTTCTACTGAATCAAACGCCTTCTCGTAATGTGTAAAGGCTATGTATAGTGGTTGGTTATATTCTGAGCATTTCTCTATTACCTGATTGATAGTATGAATGTGGTCGGTTGTTGAGTAGCCTGTTCGAAATCCTGCTTGTTCCTTTGCTTGATTGAATTCTAATGTTTTCTTTACTCTGTTAGCAATTACCTTTGTAAGTAGCTTGTATACTACAGAGAGCAAGCTGATCGGCCTGTAATTCAAGTCATTGTCATCTTCTTTCTTATGTATTGAGATGGTGTTAGCGTTCTTCCAAGACTCTGGTACTCTTCCCGTCAGGAGACACATTGTAAACAGGGTGGCTAGTTTTTCTAACACAATCTGTCCTCCATCTTTCAGCAGATCTGATGTTACCTAATCCTCACCAGCAGCTTTGCCTCTTTGCATGCTCTCCAAAGCTTTTCCGACTTCTTCTATCATTACTCGTGGGGTGTCACTTGGTTTACTGCTAGTTCTTATAGTATCAGTCGTGGTTGTTCCGGCTACTGTACAGATCTCTGTAAAACTCCTCTGCTATTTTGACTATCCTATTCATATTGGTAGTTATTTTGCCTTCTTTGTCCCTTAGTGCATACATCTGATTTTTGCCTATCCTAAGTTTCCTCTTCACTGCTTTGACGCTTCCTCCGTTTTTCAGAGCGTGTTCAATTCTCTCCATGTTATACCTTCTCACATCGCATACCTTACGCCTATTAATCAACTTTGAAAGCTCTGCCAGTTCTATTTTGTCTGTTGTACTTGAGACTTTCATGATTTGACGCTTCTTAATGAGATTCTTTGTTTCCTGGGAAAGCTTGCCAGTGTCCTGTCTAACTACCCTACATCCAAGTTCAACTGCACACTCCGTAATGATAGTCGTCAGATTATCATTCATATTATCTACGCTAAGGGCGGTTTCCTCACTAAGAGCCGAGTACCTGTTCTAGAGCGAGACTCTGAATTCCTGTACTTTCCCTCTTAGTGCTGGCTCATTGATTGGCTTCTTGTGTATCAGTTTCTGTCGTTCCTTCTTCAAGTCTAGGTGAATTCGAGACCGTACCATTCTATGGTCACTGCATCGTACCTTGCCAACCACTTCCACATCCTGCACGATGCCTGGGTGTGCACTCATTATAAAGTCTATTTCGTTCTTACTTTCACCATTAGGGCTCCTCCATGTCCACTTGCGGTTTCCTCGTTTTCGGTAGAAGGTATTCAAAATCCGTAAATTATTGCGTTCTGCGAACTCTACTAGTAGCTCTCCTCTGGCGTTTCTAGTACCGATGCCATAATCTCCTACTGCCTTTAATTTATACACGTGATTAAATACGTAATTTATTTCTCCATGAGGGTCTTGCATTACTATAATTCTGAGCTCACCCAAGAGAGGGCCTCATTACATATAGATGTGCTCTACTCATAACAAACTGCCACCAGCGGCGACACACAACAAATAGCCCTTAGTACCAACATGCAGTGCGCACGGGAGGTGCTTCTCATCAACGCTGTCTCTACACATGAGCTTTGTAGTTGTCATCTACTGTGGCCGCACGGCAGGAAACCTGGTTACATAGCAAGTGCATGTTTACTACAATTACTATTGCTCTTAAAAATGCTAGCAATGCTTCGTAAAACATTCGAATATGTTGCTATTGCATTCATTGTTCATTGCTTTGCTCTTTCGGCGAAACTGCGACTTTTTTCAAAACATCCTGAAATTATCAAACACTTCGACCTGAACATGGATAGGCGGTGCCCACATTGTTGGGAGACCTGTGACATCTTCCACAAGGTGTGGGCATGTGCGAAAAATCGCCACCTGCCCCCTTCTACGCCTTTTTGTGAGGCATGGGAGACTGCCCTCCTCTACTGCTCGTCGCTGGAGTCTCAACAAACTCTGGTGAAACGAGCACGAGTCGGGGCCTCGTTATGAAGTGTCCCGGACTAGGGACGCTGACCATGTAGCGGGGTCATGCCTTGGCCCCTAAACTGTTTTTTTTTTTCAACGATAAATGTTTTCATCTATCTCTCTCTCTCTCTCTCTCTTAAGTAGCTACGATGAACTATTTTGAGGGCACGGTCGTGATAACTGGCGTGCGTGCTGTTTGGGCAAGCATCAGTGTGCCTTCAACACGAAGAGACTGTGAAAAGAGCATTTCTCCCTGGAATGGCCGTACTTTCTTGTACAAGCGTCTTGTAAAAGTTCCGCAATATCGGATTTAAAAGAGTTTGCTGCCAGTCTTACTTCGTATAACATTACAATTTGTTACTATCGCATTCATTGCATTGCATTCCACGTGCCGTCGTCTTGTTGCCAGAGCTAATTGCGAAGGCTACGGTTATGGAAAAAAAAAAAAGCAAGGCTAAACATCGTCGGGGGCCACACCATGCGCGCACAGTGAAACCATGCACGCGCACACGGCGTCAAAAATGAAGAGCGAACGACACGGATACCGCGGAAAACTATTTGGTAAAGCGCCCTCCATATACAGTGCGGCCTCACATATGTGACACTAACTAAAAGCGTGGCCCTGCCAATGTAAAAGTAGTTTTCATTTTCTTGTTTTTGGTTTGGAGGGAGGGGAGGGCACGGGGGGGGGGGGGGGGGGAGAGCATGCACCCGCGGTAGCATGAATGGCGGCGTGGGGCGCAGGCCTGCCTCGCGCCCACCCGCGCGCAGTAACGAGCGCTCGCTCTCGCGTGGTAGTCGCCAAGGCCACGAGCACACCGTGCTGCTTCGCGCTTCATTGTCAGTGGGGCAACTGCGGAAGATGCATGTGCATGCTAAAATGACAAAATCCGCGGTGTCGAAATTCTTAGATTGTCCATAGTCAAGAGTTCGATGAAATCCCGTCTGGTCGGGGACCAACATGATGCAAAATAACAGAAACGCCGACCAAGGTAAAATGCTGAAAAATTGGACGTTTCGGCTTCCTACACAGGAGCCTTGTTCACAATGACCACAAACGGCGTAGTGTGCTCTTCTTATGCACGTGTCATCACGTGTTGCAGACATCACATGTACACAGGGGGCCCCTGTGTTCGTGCGTGCATGTCCCTTTTTTTGCACCTGTCTGCCTGCTACAGTCATGCTTTTTGAACTGTGGTGCGGTGTTGATAAATATTTGACTATTCTGTTTGAGCTGGTTAGGTGCTACAGCTAAACCTCGTTACATGGAATTCTCTATGTAACTTTTTGCAACTTATGCTTATAGAGCACTATGCCCCAGAGTTAGCACAACACAGAGCAAGGCACTGTCTTAAACAATCTCTTGCAACAGCTAACCACTGGCTCTTATAATAATTTCAATTTATTGACTCGATGCTTCTTTGCTGCAGGAGTGAAACTTCATCATATCAAACTTGCAGATAAACTTTCCACGTAATATTGAGGGTAATACTACGAACGGCGGCAGGTAAGAAAGAGGTAAACACTTTGTGCACTAGACTCTGAATTTCATTTCATTGAACATCGTTACATGACTTGTGTAATCATGCGACCTTCATGCATCGTCTTAGCAAGCCACAACAGACTATCTAGGTTAATAAGAATACCTGTGCCGGAGCCATCAGTGTTGTTACACTTCAATCAAAGAATTCAGTTTTACTAAAGGTGCTATGTCAGACAGAACTTCGTTGTTGCAATCCACTCAACAAACTACGAAATATTTGCTTGAAGAGGTGCACTGTTTTGGACATGAAAACAAAATTGTATTTTTATCTTTTGCTTTTATTACAGACGTGGTTTACAAAGCTACCACCTGTGCTAGTGTTTGAGCTCTCTCGATTCCGCTTTAATCAGCAAATGAACAAGCCCGAGAAGATCCATCATCGGCTAGACTTTCCAGAGTTGCTCTACATGGACAGGTACGTTCATCCCGTTTCTGTATTCTTGGTGCTCCCTTGATGAGCACTGAACACTTTTTGAGAGTCGCTTGTGGTTTTTGGTGATTTTAATGCTGCGTTCATCAGCATTTCCTTCTGTACGGGCGATCTCGGATATATAAAACATTGGTATACAGTGTGGACCACTTATAATGGAACCACATAGTGGCATGACTTGTTAAAATGCAGTGTTTTCTGGCTCCTGTTCACCCTCCCACAGAAGCCCATGTATAGTAATATCACGTTAGAAAACAAGCAAGAGACATTACTCGCTAGGTTTTGCGGCACTGCCATTTTATTTAGAAGAGATAAACTGCCTAATGCACGTCTGTGTTGCGGTCGTACTTTGCAAGGTGTCCTATAGATGATCGACGCATTGCATCAACTGGTCCTTTTCACCTCTGCCTTCCACCTTATCTCGAAGTAGGCACAGCAAATTTCTCGTTTCAGGAGATGTATTTCTTGAGGAGGTGCGTCGTCACCTTTGCCTACGTTAGTGGTCGTTTGAATGATTTTGAGCGTTTGAGCGCTCTTCAAGGAAAGTGCACCGTTGGGGAGAGAGCAATAAGGCCATTAGGAAGGGGGAGGGGATGCAGAGTCAACAAACGATGGGCGGAAGGTGGAAAAAGAAAAGAAAAAAAATTGGCCCCATATCTGCATGTTACACCGCAAATGTCATAGAAAGACAACAGTCTTGCGTCTGGAGAGAGTGAACAAAACATTTATTTGATGTTCTGCGCAAGAAAATCGCTGAATGGTTTTCTGGAGGCGCTGCGTTAGAGTGCCTTGAGCGTGCAGGCGAGGTGAACGAGCGCATCAAGTCATGTCACACGTGAGACATGAGCGCTGTCTAGCAGTTCAAGGCGTGCGCCGTGCGCACCCGTTTCTGAGGTGATAAGGTGTAGATCTGAGGTGCAAGGCGACGGGTAGGTGCCACCACCGTGTCGTCTTAGCAAAGCATTGGAAACACTTGCCGTTTCATGCAAGCGTTGCATGGCCAGTGTAACGTTATAAAGGCTACGATCCTTAAAATTACTTATGTATGCCTTTTCTAGTAAAAAGTACACATACATAATATGGGCGTGTTATTGTGGTGCCTCAGATATGCACAATAATTGCTTTTTAATTGACAATCGCAGAAGTATGAACGCCGAACCTTGAGCAATATTGATGGGCGCTGCGGATGGGGTCGGCCGTTTGGAGTATCGTTTGGTCACTTTGGTGCCATTTAGGGTACCGTTACGGGTGAACAAACAGACTAATGTACAGACAGACAGACCAAAATTTTTGCGTCGATTGGTAACCTTCGGCGCAAAAATTGTTTTAAAATTTTTAAAAAGTTCGTGGCGGCACTGCACAAACTTGCAGATTGAGGAAGAAGGGTGATTGCCTAGCTAATGCAAAAGCGCAAATGAAAAGGCAATCGCTGGGTAGATTCCCAGGGCTGATGTATCAGGCCACTGATGTTCCGTGCAGGGAACTTTCTTTTTTTTCAGGAAATTTTTGCCTGTAACTTTGGGCCAAAGGGAAAAAGGGAATCTTCGTCATGTTTCAGGGAATTTCAGGAATGGTTGAATTCTATGACTACTAATGCGCTCTCAGTGTGCCTTTATCTGCTGTAATCAGTTTTGGCGCATGCACCATGCAAGCATAGCCCTCGAGATTTGTTTCTGATATTTTGGCACTAGCATGCATCTTCCACGGTTGCCCCACGGCCGACGAAGCGGGAAATGGCCCCAGTGACTCCAAGGTGGGCATGCGGGCCTGCACCCCACGAGCCGGCGTTGCCGCCATTCTTGCCTCCGTGGTGGGCGCATGCACGGATGTGCCCCTCCCCCCTATTCCAAATTAGCGTCACATATTTCTGGCTGCGCTAGATATAGGGAGGGCCTAACTTAATCGTTTCCCTGGTATCTGCATCATTTGCTCTTCATTGTTGACGCCTTGCGCGCGCATGGTGTGGCCCCCGACGATATTCAGCTTTGTTTTTTTTCTTTTTCCTTCCTTTTTTAATTATTATTACGCTGATAATTATGTCGTCACTACTAAGGGGATGTCAGATTAAGCTGTGATCGAAACTTTCCAAGACCTCAGTGACAATGACGACTCTTCGGTGGTCGACTCGTCATGCTTTTCCGTTTGCGAGTTCGAGAAACTGCGGCCCTCGCTATTCCGATTGGCTGTGGCAACAAAACGACGGTGGGTTGAATGCAATGCAATGAATGCAAGAGCAGCAAATCGTAATGTTATATGAAGTAAGGCTGGCTGCTAACTTTTTTTATCTGATATCACTGTGCTCCTACACTACGCTGGTGTAACCAAATACGGCTGCTCTAGGGAGAAGTGCTCTTTTCACACAGTCTCTACACGTTGAAAATGCACCAATGCTTGCCGAGATAACAGGCGCCTGGGCCTGCGCCCTTAAAATCAAAGTTCACTGTTGCTACTCGAACGACCCCCCTTCCTTTGCGTTTTTTTCATGTTTGTTCAATATGGATGGTTTCCTTTCTTTTCTGTTTGAGCATTCGACGGCAGTTCTAAAATGTTGGGGGGGGTGGTTGTGTTGTGTTGTTGTTGTGCAGAGATGGGCCGGCTCATTTGACCTCTGCTTTTACATGCTTATAAAAGTCTGATGAGCGGTAGCACATTGTAAATCTGGACTTTTTATGGTGCATAGCGGTGATGGCAAAAATCCGCCGAGAGTGCCCATATAATTGCCATCGCAACACTCGCGCAGTATTTTTTACCGTTAAGTGTTTTGGGTTAGCTCTGCTTTCAGTTCCTCTTTTGTTTAATTTGCGAGTTCATTTTATAAATTTTCGTTCAGAACCTGCATTCAACGAAATCCTTTTACAGCGAATATTTTCGGGAATTTGTCATTTTTGTTATATCCAGGGTTAACTGTATATACTTAGTTACAACGGAATAGTCATTGCATATACATGCAGTACATAAATGCACACACGGCCAGTCAATCCACTATACAACTTAGAGGCTTGTGTGAGTGGTGAATTTCAGGTTCAAAGAAAATTTTGAGCGAATAGTAATTTGGTTGAATAATTTCGAATAAGGTTGAAATTGGATATATCGCCTATTGTGTAGAAAAATGGTTATATTTGTCATGACCCGACCAACCTGCGCAAAATTTATCAAAATTGAAACAAGTTCTTTGCAAGTGTCATTCTTTTTGGTTCCAAGGCAGTGGAAGCAACTTTGCATAGTAGCAAATTTTGACTTTTGGTAGAATGCAAGTGATGTACCTACATTTGCAGTTTGCGCACAGAACCTTGTACACAGCACTAGGAAAGCACTCTTTTCCTAATTTGTCTTTTACAATGACGAGAGTGATTTAGCTTGCGCGGGGTATACATAAGCTACGTGTACGTCGTATTTGCGTCTTTAAAAAAGATACATGTTGACTCCCCTCAGAAGAGTCGTTATGCATGTGACACCAAAAAAGAGTAGCGAGTAACCTTTTAGAGAGAGGGACGACATCAATTCTCCGACTTGGTGGCATAGCTTCAAGTGAATCTCTGCAACAGGTCAGTCTGCCTCCCTGGTAGTAGCAAGATTTGACTTTGGGTACAATGCAAGTGATAACCTGTAAAAATTTTTACACTTTAAATTTACTGTAGAGCATATAAGCCGGTATTACAAGCTTTAAAATGATGAAAAAAAAAAGAAATGATGATTTGATGTGAGGGTAATATGTTCAATTGAACCTTGAAGAGGGGCTTCGTGGCAGTCCGGATTTTCGATGGATAGGTGTTTTCACAGCTTATCACTCCTTCACTGCAGTGAAACCACTTTTACAGCGGCAGGGGTTTGAACGTCGACTAGTATACACCTATTTGTTTATTTTGAATGCTGCAAGATTTTCAACAATTTAAATTACAATCAATATGAAATAATACAGTAATATTCATTTGAATATTTGCAGAACCCTACAGATTATGTTTAGGTCAGCGAGAACAACCAAAGCAATCGTGCTATGAATGCAATATCATGCATTACAAAATCATCAGAACACTTACGATCTTGAAATATGCATGAATCATGTCCAGTTCAGGAATTCTTCAACTGTGCTGAATGTATCTATTCGAGGAAACACCCATGGAGACTCCAGCGCTGGTTGTTGTTCGCTCTGTCGCTGCCCACTAATATCGGGCTGCGCTTGAGTTCGTGAATATTCCTCGCGACTCGTGTGTGCAGCACAGGGAAAGCCAGGGAATTTGGTAGATCTTTTTAGTAGCTTACACTGCATAGATGGGCGTGTGCCGGTGGCAGCTGCATTGGCTTCCCAAATTCGCTCGGATGTTGCTTGGTGTTTGCTTTCACTGCACGCGTTGTTTGTGGAGGAGGTGGGGCAGTGTACACTGTCTGGATGTGATTATTGCTGGGGCCTTGAATGGCTGTTGCGTGGCTGGTACCGAGTTTTGACGCACTTTTGACAATGGCTGCAGCTGACCAGACTCCGGCCGTGCATGCTCTGCATGAAACGTATAATCGTGTACTCTTCATGTGCACTATGTTTCCTTCTGAGAAGGTGTTATTGTTACTACGCTTGCTACCTCTGCAAATTTGAAAGCTTTATAGCTTTAATTCGAGTGCACTAATTTTTGCTGCCTGAGCATGGACTTGGACAAGCTAGGCGGGTTTTGTCTCCGTTGATCTCCCGGCAGTGAATCTAACTTCGTATCACGTGAGCTGCCATCAGGTCTGGGCTTAGGTGCAAGTTTTTCTACGCCCGATCTTCATTTTGCCTTGGACGAACTTTCTGTGGCAACATGCCAAACTGCAGGCTAGTTCTAATCAGCACTTGTTGGTCTTTGCTCATGGGCGATCAAAAAAAAAAAAGTCACTGTGACAGAAAGTTTGAATGCCGTGTGTATGTATGTGTGAATGGTTTGTACAGCTTGAGCTGCAGCAAGGAAAACAAACCGCTATGTTGAATTGCCCTAATGCTCTGTGCCCGTGCGCAAAATAGTAAAAAAACATGCAGGTGTGCTCGCTGCATTTTCTTGTGGAGGATTGCGATACCAGCGGGAACTTTCTCACTGCTTCCAGAGTGCGCTCTTCCGAGTAGTGTTCTGGTGCTACTAGTGTCGGCAGCCACACAGTAAATGCGGGCAACATTGGGCATGGTTACTGCTGCTCCAGTAGACCCATTTAGGCAGGTGGCTTAAAGTGCGCCATCGCCTTGTGAACCACTAGAACGCGGTCTTATTCTTAAAGAAAACCATTCCCTTAGCACAAAAGTAGTATTGTGAGGTTTCGTGACCGCTGTTACAAAGCATTAAATGCGAACTTAACATTTGTCTTTATTGTCCGTCTAAATGCCGCTAACTGCTCCAAATTAAAGTCCTTCTGTTCCAAAATTGGAATTTTGCTGTTCCAAAAGCTGCTCCTAGTTCAGTTTGAGCGATTTTACCCCTTGAGTATGGAAAGCACTGTTGTTTAGCGACTGGTATTTCTACCTTATTTTCGCCAGGTACATGGAGTACAACAAGAACATCACCCGCAGCAAACGTGAAGAGGTTCGCCGGCTTAAAGCTGAACGGGAGAGGCTGAGGAGACAACTTGACAAGTATATCTCTTTGATTGCCCTAAATACATGAGTGTCATGATTTCGTCGTCACATGCAGTCATGCAAAAAGATTGAGGGTGTGTAATAATGTTTTCTAAACTAAATTGAATTTGAATCGAATGGTGAAAAAATAAAAATGAATATAGAAAACATTTTTAAGTGTTTACAAATTAAGACTGTTATTCTCATTAATATGAAGTAATTTTTGCGTACTGGTAGTACTGTATTTACTCTAATCTGACATGCGCCTTTATACTGATAAAATGAGTCCGAAAATTGCTTGCATGTCAAAGGGCCTCTAAACCACCTCCAAGAATTTTTCAAACGTTTCGGGTAAACACGTGCGTCGTGTACAGAATGTCTTTAGGATCAACAACAGCGGTTAGCTGAAAAGCTCGGAGTTTACTGAGCCGTGGCAACCGGGAGTGCACGCTGTTTCGCATAGCACTTTGGTGGTGACTGTATGCCACGCGAGGTTGGGAGGGTCACGCGACAAGGAGGGCAAAGCAGCTTTAAAAAAGAAGACCAGCCGCTGAATGGAAGGCAGCCAAGGAGAGAGTGAAACTAGCAACCGCAGCGTTTTGTTTATCAGACACGTGTACAAAAGGAGCCAGAAAGTGTGGGATAGCCTTGATTGCATTGCAATTCTTACGCTATACTTCAGATTTTCAACTGTGGAACGAGTGATCACAACCAATGTTTGGGTGTAGATTTTCTGGAATTTTTCTAGGGTATTGCGACTTGCTTATGAGGCGGAAAGAGTGTTGGTAATGTAAACAATAAAAATCTTGTTCTATTAGTGTTCTGCTGACCCTGTGATGTTTTCTATGCATGGGGACGTTATGTGGCATATGTAGGCTTAAATATACAGGGCAGTTTCAGTTTTGTGACCTCATTAATAGTTACAGGATATTGTAGGTTTGGATTTAGTGAGGTAGGTGTGTCCTGCTACTGTATTTGACCAGTCGTGTACAGAATGCCGTCACAATTACCCTACCTACCCCACTCGCCTGCATGCACGAGTCGTGCTTTCGTTCGTTGGGATGGCAGAGGCAGAGGTGTCCTCTACCACGTGCCACTTCTTTCAGGTACATCCAGTACGGCTCGGGGCCCAAACGGGTGCCCCTCCAAGACGTGCTGCAATACACTCTCGAGTTCGTCGAGAGCAAAGCCTCTCAGCAGAGAAACGAGGAGGCGGAGATGGGCTCACCGTCGTCAAGGTATTTATTCCGAGCTGCACCTAGAAAGCTTCGCCACTGCACCTGTCCTTTTTGACATCCACGGCCTGAAAGAATGCTCCCCAAAAATTTCACTGTTGACAAGAAACTCCCCTGGGTGTAGCAAAGAGGGGCAAGTGCACTTAGATTGTGGAGCGATGCTACCATGACAACTAGTGCGGGTTTCTTGGGAAGAGAGCTTCCATGTTCACTTCACAAGGTGACCAGTTAGGCTAATCGGTAATGCACACTGAATGTGAACATTGCAAAGCCAGTGTGTGGTCAATGAGCAATAACAACGTAATGTTTTCCTTGTCTTGTTGCTTGTGTTCCCAGTGCTGCTTCTGCATGTTGTGCTTACATGCAGAAACGTGTTTCATAATAGGGGACTCCAGGTGGGCCTTGACTGCATTTTGCAGCTAAGTAGATGGGTCCTTTACATTTTGTCTCCTGTCAGTGGAGAAAAAAAAAGCTACTGCCACAACCTTAATTTTAACATCGAAAGGGACTATCCTATGAAAAGGTAAACCTTATTGTGTTGTGTCTAGGAAACTGGTATGGGATTTTCTTTACAGCTTTCTGCGGCAGAACATAGGTTTTCTTTGTGGACCATCTTTCATTTTGTGGACTTTGTGAATGTTTCTGAAACAATACTGTAGGCTTATGTTGAATGTGTTTTCCCCACCTGTTTGTTTTTCTCTACTCCTTTTCTTTCCTTTGCTGTGTTATCACATGTGGGAGAGTCGCATGACCCGAGCAGATGCATCATGTGCGACGTCATTAGAAGAGCAGCACGTTGCTGTAGACTCCGGTGTTGGCAGTATTGATGCTGGCAAAATTGTGAGAGCTACAATGCCGTGCAGTGTAGGCTACTGGCCCCTCCGTGACATAGGCCAGGCCCTGACACTGGCAAAGTAGGGATACTTGTTGACTGCCTGGCAAAACGATTTCCTTTTATTTAAATATTAATGGTGGTATGATGTCTCCCTTCCTCTTGGCCACACGGCCATGCCTGATATCATTTGCGATGTTTCTGCTTGGGTCTTTGGCCCTCCTACATGCAACTGTGACTGGATGTTCTCCTTCTGCATTCTTTAGGATAAGGCAACATGCCTGCCAGCTTGGTACATTGCATAATGTTAACATACTATTCTGCTTTATTTAGCACTTTATTTAAACAATTGCTTTATTCAGTGCTTCTCTAAGGTATTGTAATGACGACAATGACAACGCTCCAGAATGTGAGTGCTTTGGTGGTTATATCTTATCTGGCGCAGCTTTTTCTCTAGTATGTTATGGTACTCTATGGTAGATAGTGTAGTTATAATTTTCCAAGTGATGTCACGAATTATCTCCCACAGCCTAGGTCTCTGTTCTCCTGGCAGCTCACCACCGGACGAGGGCCTTTCGAGGGGAGAGAGCCCTCGTAACCTGAATGATGGGCCGAGCCCACAACACGTGTCGGAGCCCGAACTAAGGCTGCTGCAGAGCTGCTTGCGGCGGTGGCAGTCAGAGGTCGAGCACGATGTCAAAGGTGAGCACAGTTTCAGATAGTTTCGCCTATGCTTCAATCTAATTTTGTTATAGGCCAACTGTTATGATCTTTTAATTTGCAGTGAAAGCAAGAAATTATAACCGGTGTGTTTACACAGTTATTTTTGGTACAATATGAGAACAAGTTTTTTTCTTGAACCACAAGAATTGCAAAATAAGTTATGATGTAGTGATAATCTGCAATGAAAGCAGTGGACAACGAAAAGCCTGATGGATGCTCCAAGTTCATTTGAGAAAAAAGTTGCTGCACATTCGTTAGCAAGATCCCAGCTCGACATCGATTAATATAACAAGTTCAACATACCATTTATACCTTATTGCTTCTTTTTTTTTCTCTTGCAGAGTTGCAGGATAGCATGAGCCGCATCGATGCAACCATTCGTGATATTTACACAGAGCCGTCGTTGCTACAGGTGAGCTGACCAGCTAGGGTGGTTTATCAGCCAAGATGTCGTGGTGCAATACACGAGCACGCGAGTTCAGTTTCTGGTTACTGTAGGCACATTGAGAAAGAGGTGAGAGAGAAAAAAAAGTTTGCATCTGGCTTACAGCATGCTGTCACTTAGCCGCGCCCACCAGAGACAGCTTGTGCAGTTGCCACCTCAGCAGGGTGCGAGCAACGAAACTAGGGAGGGGCGAAAAATGCAATCCGCTTTTAGTCAATGTGCACTCTGCAAATCTTTATTGGTCAACTACGAACAAAAGAAATCCCCCACCTGCACTTCATTGCAGTTCAAGATCCAGTGCTTATATATACAGCGCATTGTTACGCGGGCAAGAAAGTTTCGGTGGGCAACGCGCCATATGCTCTCTCTTGCCATGCCACAAGGGCTGAGGTGGTCGTGAGAGAGAGAGAGCACGCTGCTCTCTCGTGGCGACAGAAAGCGGTCTCTCTCTCGCGCTTGAGCAAATCGACCATCACGACAGCAGCAGCAGACAATCATGCACACTGACATGCTGAGGCCCTAAGGTATCTCACCCCTAAAAAATGTGGGCAGGTTGCACTAGTGGTGCTAGGCTGGACAAACAGGAAAGCTGGTGACTTCGCTTATCAAGTAAGCAAGGTCTGAATTAAAATGGTCTTAATTAACAAGTCATTATTAGATATTCATAATTAACATAATTACATATGAGTGTGTCCAAATTAACAAAGTATTAGCAAGCTCGATCTTAGCATGGCTCAGCCTAATTAGCTGCATCTTGACATGGCTTATCTTAATTGGCTTTACTAAGCATGAAGATGACTAAAAAAGAAGAGGACAAGAAGAGCGCATGCTGGGCTGCTGACGGATAGTTTTGTCGACTCCACATGGTACAACTAAATGCTTGAGAGAGAGAGAAATAACATTTATTTCTACATTTGGCTCGTAGGAAGTCCCTTGCCTCACACTGCGCGGATGTTCCCTATCTTAAGATTACTAAACGCTTGAGAGCTCCGCTATTAAACAGCCGTTGACTTATAATTATGTGCCCATTGAAGAATGCCACATGGTTGTAACTAATGTGGCATTCTCCAATACCATACCACATAGGGTTCTGGTGCAGGACATCTGCCAATTCAGGCTTTCAGATTAACTTGATTAGTCCTGCTCAAAGGAAGCACTAAAGAATAGTACCAAGTCAGCCAGGACAGCCACAATGGGATAAAATAGTTCATGTGCATAAACAGCAGTATCTCGGTGAATGCCTTGTACTATCCTACTGCAGTAACTAGTTAACCAAAAGTTGCTTGTCAGTTTCTTCCAAGTGTTTGTCATGTGTTTAATGGGCTACATGAAAGACAAAGGTTTGAAAGACCTGTAACAGTGCCCCCTGTTGCAGATCTAGAGACAATGTTTGGTACAAGCTCCTTGAATGTGTTTTTCTGGTCAGGTGCCGTACCGGCTGCACGCAGTCCTGGTGCACGAAGGCCAGGCCGCTTCGGGCCACTACTGGGCCTATGTGTACTGCCCGCACCGATCGGCCTGGCTCAAGTTCAACGACGTCACAGTCAACGAAGTGACGTGGGCTGACCTCTTGCACGACTCAGTCGGGGGCCACCACTGCACGTCCGCCTACTGCCTGCTGTACGTGGACCGCAACAATCGTGATCTCTTTGATGGTGAGCCCTTGCTCTGCTAGGATCCGTTGAAGTTTGTACCTGGTTGTATTTTGTGGTTTTCTGACATTTAGACATTCTTTATGATTGTGGTGGTGGTTGTAGAAAAAGATTTATTGAGAAAAGTTCCGAGAGTTGCACGACAAATGCATTTGGGTGGTCTTCCTTGTGGGATCTCGAATGGAGAGCGCCGCTTTCGGAGCGAACGGACACAGTATACGCGGTCGGACCAAATCAAACAACACATTTATTTAAATATTTTTAGATTGATGATATCGCTAGCTGAATCAAGATACATCAGTTGCGATCAACATGCTAAATTTTTAACCGTCCTAAGTAAACATGCGTCATGTGCAGAATGCTGTTGCAATCAACGATTCTACACATGGCAGCGCTACAAGTCGCTGGTGTGCCACAAATTCCAAGAAACAATCCCTCTTCCTCTCTGGGCCTTTCGGGCCTCCGTGTGATGGCGAAAACTTTAATCTCTGATGCAGAGCACATCGATGCTGTAATTGGTCAAGCAAGAGCCTACGACTTGTAGTTAGTCTGCAAGCAGATGTCTGTAATGCTTATTGTTCATTGTATTACCCATTCGCGTATTACCCATTCGTGTGTTTGCAGCCCCGCCGCGATGGTGTAGTGGCTAAGGTACACGGCTGCTGACCCGCATGTCGCGGGATCGAATCCGGCTGCATTTCCGATGAAGACGGAAATGTTGTAGGCCCGTGTGCTCAGATTTGGGTGCACGTTAAAGAACCCCAGGTGGTCGAAATTTTCGGAGCCCTCCACTACGGTGTCTCTCATAATCATATGGTGGTTTTGGGACGTTAAACCCCACACATCAATCAATCAATCGTGTGTTTGCAAATCAGCTACTGCTGCCTGTAACACAGTCCATACCAGCATGATTCGTATAAGTAAGGGTCGGCACGGCAGCAGTGGTTCGCAACAAGCACGCAGTTGACGGGGTCGAGGAAGGGACGGAGTCTGGGCCACCAGAAGAAGACATTGTTTCGAATAGCTCGTCAACGATGATGTATGCTGCTTGATAATGGGGGAGGGGGGTGTAGATGGGTTTGGCGAGGAGGCAGAGCAGCTTTGAGAGAGGATGCCAACGAAGGGTAGCGAAGGAAAGAGCGAAAAGAGTGATCGCCACATAATCACACATTTAAAACTCCGCTATTGCAGCACCATTTTGAAAAATTCTCACCGCTCTCTGGTCGTTGCATATTGGTGCACAACTTCCCTACCATAACTGAATTTCGACCTCTGGGCGGTTGGGGACTCTTTAGGGGAGACACTGCTCTTAAAAAAGTATTTTTATTTTTTGACTGCTATTGATGAAACTTCGTGAGCTTGTGTATATTTGTGTGGTGATTTCAAATATTCAGTTATTCTTCTTGTGTGAAGTGTAGTTTTTAAAATACAAAATATTTTATGCACCTTTTGGGGAGCTAGATATTTTTATAAGCTGAGAGAGCTACAATTTAAATTAGCATATCGCAGTAATCTGGAATCGGGTGATAGCAGTGCTACAGAAATGTATCTCCTAAGTTCATTTGAACAAAATTTATCGTTTGTTGAACATTCGTGAGTGAGTCAATTTCAAAGTGGGATTTCACTGGCAATTGTTCAACATGCCATAAGATTTTTTCTAATGAGTTTACATCATGCGCTTTTGTTGGGCTGCAATCAGCTTTATTTTCAGATTATTCTGATATGCTGCTATGCTTTGCAACTCTCTTAGCTAAAGAAAAATTTTCTCCCCAAAGGGTGCATGAAATATCTTGTATATTAAAATCTACGCTTCACACACAAGAAAAGTTATGACATATATAAAATCAGTTCACAAATATATCATAGACTTGCCAAGTTTCATAAAAGTTTGTCAAGAAATGAAAAGGAAAATATTTTATTGCGAAAGCAATTATATGGACATTCTCGGCTGGATTTTGTTGTCGACGTTTCTGTCACTCACCGTATATGTATACGTATCTATATATATATGAAAACGCAAGAAAGAAAAATAACGCAGAAAAAGACTCCGCGCATGGAATCGAATCTGGGACCCTCGAGACATGAGTGCCACGCATTAACAACTGAGCCACCGAGGAGCTCATCCTTCAACGTTTAAATGGCAAGCTATTTATGTCTACCACTTATCGCTGGTTACAGTCATCTCAGTTAGAATATTTTGTGTTTTCAGCATTACCAGCAAGATGGCGCAATAAGCGTGCGTAGCCACAACGTCGCGAAGCGGGCGGCGCGTACTTAGCCCCGCTTGTGGGTGCAACGCTTTCTGGCGCGCCCTTATCTTGCGTTCCTTGGTGGGCCTTGGGCTTTACCTGGAATGATTCTGTTGTAGTTATCGTGTGCACAAAGGTCACTGCAATCGTTGCACAGCCTCTGTCTGTGTAAAGGGCACACTTTTCAGACACAGCGAAGTAACAACCGAGACACTTATTCACGTTCATCTGTACCTGTGAGTACCGTATTTACTCGATTCTACCGCGCCCTCGATTGTAACGCGCACCCGGTTTCCACGACGAAAAAAAAAAAAAGCAAGACATCTATTGCAACGCGCACCCATTTTTCTCGTTGGCCCGCACAATCACACCACTTAAGAAAACGACTCCTTTCGCGAGCTTCTTCCGTTTAAATAGGAGGTACGGGGAAAGCTTGGGTCTATCTGACGTGCAACGGAGCATTGCCATCACTCTAGTTTTACCGTGGCCTGATGTCGGCACGCGAACTCGCTTCGCCCCCTTCTCGACGGTTGTGGTGCCGGTCATGTCGAAGTAAAGAGGCGTTCCCGGCTGCGGCGGCTGCATTTCCGATGGAGGCGGAAATGTTGTAGGCCCGTGTGCTCAGATTTGCGTGCACGTTAAAGAACCCCAGGTGGTCTAAATTTCCGGGGCCCTCCACTACGGCGTCTCTCATAATCATATGGTGGTTTTGGGACATTAAACCCCACATATCAATGAAGTAAAGAGGCGTCTGATCTGCATTCCTGATTTGCCCAAGCAGGTAGCCGTTGTTGTGCCGCAACTTTTGGCATATGCCCGTTCACCTTCGGAGGGAAAAGCCTTTCCTCTTCATAAAGTTAGTTAGCCAGCACCTGCTCGCTTTAAACTAGCTCCGCATTAGCCCTTTTTCTAAGGCTAACTGCATAGCCTGCACTTGGAGCAGTTCTGTCGTCACGGGCCGCTCACTGCTTAATCATATACTCGCTGAGCAGCTCTTCAATTTGCGGAAATTGACCCTGCTGTGGTCCACTGAAGCCTTTGCGTGAATGTTTGCTGTCGACAATATTCTGCTTTTGTTTCCGCCAGTCCCGCACGCACGTTTAGGGAACTCCGAACGACCGCGATGCGGCCCGGTTTCCGTCCGTTTTGGCACACGCGATGACATTTCTTTTAAAAGCAACATCGTGGTGCACTCGTCGAGTTTTTGGAGTCGGCCCTTTCATGCCGTCGATGCTAATGCACTACAAGATGACGAACTCCTCAGCACACGTACGAAGTGCCGCACATGGGAAACACATAGGCAGAAATGGCCGACGCGCCATGCCGACGCATGTAGGGGGCGGCCATTTTGGAAATGCCGATGGCAATAGAATGACCGTATTTTTTTTTTGTACTCGATTCTAACGCACATGCGATTTATGAACTCTCTTAACCGGAAAAAAGGTGCGCATTAGATTCGAGCAATTACGGTACGTTTCATGCATCATTTCTGTGTTACACGGGTCACATTTCGATCTGCTTGCCATTCTGCGCGTGACCTTTCAATTTGTTGCCATCGCTTTGATTGCTTCGCTTTTGCGGCAAAGCTGTGACTTTTTTTTCAAGTGCCATGTCACACAGGCTTTCTGAACACATCGTCGCACAAATTGGGCTGATAATGTGTATACATCTAAGTGAGTAGTGTAACAAAAGAGGCTTGGGCACCAGTGTGCCGCCTGCGCTTGTGCTTCAAGTGGGATATTTCTCGACTTCTTGCTACGATGTCCAGTATTTAACGTTCAGGCAATATTATTGTGAAACCACAAAGGTGTGCGTGCACTCCTGTAATATGGTCTACTTACATACAGTCTGTGGATTTTGGCACTATACCGAAATAAGAGAGCCTTCTGTCCGCAGGTGCTAAGGACTCCGAGATGGAGCTTCCCACAGACCTGGCCCAGTACGTGGAGGCAGACAACGCTGCCTTCCGTGCGGAGCTTGAGAAGTGGGACCGGGACCACAGCGACAAGGGCACAGGCTCTGCCTCTGGCGTGAACGACATCGTGGTCACTCCAGTGCAGCCGCAGCAGGTGCACTAGCCATTAGAACGACACCGATGCATTATTTGTTGGCGAGGCATTCGCAGCAGCGACACTGCATCCCTTCCCCACCACCATTCGATGTATGCACAGTTCTGTACAGAGTTGAGAATGAATAAACTAAGAATTGGCAAGAAAAGTAAAATTGAATTCGAAGAAAATTGTGATTTGGTCGATTAATTTTGAGTCGAATAGTTGAAATTGTATATCCCTTTTCGAACCCCGCAACCAGTGTATTGGACATGAGAAAAAAAAAAAATCTGTGGAGAAAAACGAGGAAAGGCAACAGTAGAACCAAGACTACCCCTGTGGTGCTTCTCTAAGAGGGGTGCAAAGCCTTTTTTAAATCTAGTTCCTTGTTTGCTGCATTTTCTTTTGGAACACCTCATAGTAATGGCATTGTCCTTGTAGAAGTGAAAATATTTTTGGAGTTGTCCTTTGTGGGATCTCTACGAGGCGAGCGCGCGCCAGTGTGGGGTCTCGGCGAGGCGAACGAGCGCCTCGCCACGCCACGCTCTTGGAGTGAACCGACACAGTGGACACGGTCGGTACAAAGCACACAAAATACATACATTTATTAACTAATTTAGACGACGACATCGTCCGCCGAATGTTACATCAATTTTAATTAACACGCTACCATACAAACAACATAACGCAGTGACACACTAAACACACAATAACATGATAAACACACACTAACACATACCTAAGGTGGCGTCGCCAACGCCTGACTTTCCACGTGGGACCCCGGCTCGAAGCCCGCGGTGCCGAGCACCGGGGACCCACGCTACAGACAACCGTTCGCGGCAGCCGCCACGCGCAGAAGAGGCTCGCTCAACCCTCGCCCACCACTAAGGCCTGCCTTCCGCCAGGGGCCACCGCCGGCGCTACCTCTCTACCAACAGTGGTACTCAAAGCGAACACAACGCCATCTATCGCCCGGCGGTGGTCACCACCGAAACAAAGCCTTGGGGCGAGACACGTGCGCCACGCGGCGCAGACATTACAGGGGGGGTGTCAGCACCCCCACACCTTGCACAGTTCAAATAAATTAAACCATGCTCGCTAACTTACGTCCATTTCAAATAGGGTCGTAAGAAGGCGGCCTTTGTAATCGGAATTTTGCTCACACTGCAAGAATACTGTTGTCTAGTACACTGGACACTGGGTTTCCAATTATTGCGCATCGTGCTAAACACTGCATGCGAAAGAAGTGTGTGGTTTTCAATTTTCATAGACCAAAATTTTATTAACCTATGTTTAATTTGTAAATGTATTTGTGATTGTGGTTTTCTCTGCATAGTTTCTCTCTTGGCGGCATTTCATAATTTCATTTGCAGAAAAATTTTACCGATGTGGAAATCCATGACATGGTGTCGATTCAGACTCTGGTGATGAGGTTGAAAAATTCGAGCCACTGTCGCTTCATGATTAGAAAAATAGTGATGTGTGCAGCAAAAAGAAAAGGTTAATAGATTTTCCCCTAAACATTCATGGAAAAAAAAACAGCACACTTGTGGACGGCACTGTCCTTTTTCGCTTCAGTTAGCTTCTGTGAAGCCTCAAACGCAAGGCCCTGTCAAGATACATCAAATGGTGACAAGTCCTGTCAAAAGTTCCAGATGCTCTTGGCATACGTCCAATAATATTCTGACGATGATTTTTGGAAGTTCATAGCAACCAGAACTAACTTATGGTGTGTCCAAACAAATGGAATCATGCTGAGTTTGATGACTAGAAAGGCAAAAGCACTGTCAGGTATGCACATAGGCTCACCGGGTTCTTAGGCTCACCAGCAGCAACTCCCGTATCATTACTTGCCGATGCTTTACCTGGAGATGGCTTGTTTCAACTTAGATATGCTTTGCAAGTCTTCAATAATGACTGCGACTACTCTGAAAATGACAGGTGCTGGCTGGTTCAAGCCAGTCTAAATGTATGTTATGAAAGAAAAAGCTTGCCGAAAAATTTCGACGTCGTACACAGCCTGCATTGACGAACAGGTGATCCAGGTTACAGGAAGCACGTAATTGTGTCTATGTTAGAAGACTTCCACAGGGTTCCAGGTTATAAATGCAAGGTGGTTCTGTGTCGAAAGGCTGGCGAGAGTGGGTCCCAAGATTTTTTTTTTGCAACCAATAAGGAATTCTTAATGGCTTTAAAAGTCGCAAAAGCTACATAAAGACTGATTGCTTTGACGAAAGTTGACGTGATTATCGAAGATGAGTGCACACGTTCAGCGATCCAGGCAAAACTTCTTTTTCAAGTCAAGACAGAGTGTTGTGCTTTCTAGGACAATGAACCTTCTGACTGGACCTAGGGCAACATTCTTTCAATAAAGGAAGCAGAATATGTGTGCTCATAAGTGTGACAAATAAATTCGAGTGTCCAGTGTGCTGGATGTGGTTCTTTCACGAGAACCATTGCTTGTACAGTCTCCTTTGTTTTTTTTTGTTGGCATGCTTTTCAATGCACTCGGCTAAAAAGAACATCACCAAATTTCGTTCTACTTTAGAAATGTCTCCGGGTGAAATGGGATGGGACATATTGTAAAATGAAATCAGCATTTTTACCATGACCAGACTCGCAACGCTACATTTTTAAGAATTAAAACTAGGCCTATGCTTGCATGGTTTGAATCGAAGTAGAAGCAAGTTTGAAAAGGAGCTTGGCTTCAATAAGGACAAGAGATAAGCAGTTAAATATGTAAAGTTTTAAAATTTGCTGTACCTAGCATATCTAAGCCAAAGATAACTTTGGCCTAAACATAAAGAAAAAGGAAAAAAAAAGTGGCACAGGTAACATTACAGAGTGTAGTTTCATGGCATAGCATTACAACAGTGCAGTGAAACTGTCTTTTAAAGAGAGGGGGTGAAATATATGTCCATCGGTTCAATTTTTTTTTTTGAAAATTTTAAAGAACCGCTCAGATATCGACCCCTACCTAAAGTAAACACACTTATGGCTTGGCAGCACAAAATTAGCTGAAATGCATGCGTAAGTGCACTTTTGCTTGCTGTGCACAAAGATTAAATGTCATGTGACTCTGTCACTAATGTTGCCATTGCCATCGATGATGTTAGTGTTGTCTGTTTATTCTCTCGCGTCTCTGTCTGTATGGCCAACCAGAGCACTTTGAGGGTCTGGGTTGTCATATGCTGTTGCATGCTGCCATAGCTTTGCCCAAGGCAGAAATAACCATGAATAGCATGGCCATGTAAAGCACATCGAGCGTGCGCTCACACTAAGCAAAGTGAATTCTTCTTCCTCTTGCTCTTCTAGCATCTTGATGATGTATGTTTCTTGGTGTAGTGCAGGCAGAATCACACTTAAAGAAAGGAAGCAAGTGAGAAATATAGAGAGAAAGGGAAGAATTATAAAGCAAGAGGTAGAGCAAGAAAGAGAGACAATTGAGAGGGAGATATAGAGAGAAAAAGAAAAAAAACGAAAAGAAACCAAAAAGACTGCTGTCCAGCTTCGCACTTTTAGTGTAAGGTTGCTTCAATTTTCCTCCTTTTTTTTTTGGTGAGTTAGCCGTCATCCTTGCAGCAGTACTTTCCTACAAAAATTACTTCGGTCATTCAGCTCTAATGCTAGTGCGATTTATCGTACTTGCTTGTGAGTTCCTTTTTGTTCATTTCACAATGAATGGTAGAGACTAGTAAGTAGGTAACAACACTAATGCAAACTTAGCTTGGTGGTGACTCTTTTCACAGAGTGCTATTGTTTACACAAACGATCTCTTGTGAGAAAACGTCCACGTAAGGGCTGTTAGGTGAAAGTGTGGAATAGTTCGAGCGTGGTCTAATAACGGGCATCAAATAAGCACGAATGCCATTAATTAATTTGAGCTAGTAGTATTGAGTGCAAGTAGGAACGAGAGTGAGTGCCCATGAGTTTGAGCATTAGTGATCACACTGCATGCACACTTGCAGGCTGTCCAAGTGTGCACACTGCATGCACACTTAAACAGCCTGCAAGGCAAGTGTCGAGAGGGCCATGTGGCATTGCACATAACCCTTGTCACGTCCAATCTACGGGCCAGCTGTGGCTGAGCTGAGTGCTTGCTGAGTGTTTGTGCACGCGATTCGTTAACAGCTGAGTGGGAATCAGTTTAGATGTTCTGAGGGCAAGAGCACCACTTGTCAGCGTGGTCTTATATTGTTGCTGATTGGCTCTAGTGTTCTGGACTAAAATAGCGCCAGAAAACAAATTTTGAAAAAAAAATTTTTTTGGCAGTCTCGATGTTCAAGAGAATATATTGCTGCAATTATAACACATTCTGCTTATTACTTATATTTTGTTATTGCACCCTAAAATCAGTGTCGGGACCATTTTCATTCTTGGTAGTACCTTTCAATTATATGCTGCACTGTTGAACCCATGTTTTCATCCCAAAGTCATATTTCGATGATTGTTGTTGTGATTGAACGCCGCTGAGTAACACATCACAGTTTTCACGAAACCATTTGGTATTTGGCGAAACAACAGATAGAAACTTTGGCGTTTCAAACCACCACATTACACATGGCAATAACTTTCATATGAATAGAGCTGAAGTTACAGTGATGGTCTAGTTGTGATCTACGCATGCTGATTTGACAATTTGCCATGTCGATATTGTGATTTCTTTAAAGCAAATCGGAATAGTGTAATATTTGGTCAAACGCTCGAAGCGATTGAATATTCGCACGAGCAGTGTCCTTCATAATAACTGCAGTAACGTTGAGCCTCGATTCAGCATCGTAACCACACAGAAACTGTTGCTTCTTTTCCACACTTGTCGCAATAATCAGCGAGAATTTCGGGAGGACGCTGTAAAAGGTATGGTGCGAGAGAAATGTGCATGGCAAATGTGAAGATGTTTTTGAGGCAATATATAATTCATGAAGCAGCGCGGCCCTGTGTAGTAGTTGAGGCATTTGATGCCAAAGGGCAAAGAAAATTAAGCCATCTTTGCACTAGGCCTGAAGGAAGTGTGAAACTGAGTAGCCTCCTTGTCCTTCCTTTTTTCTGTCTTTCTTTTTTCTTTGTCTTTTTTGTTTTCGTTTGTTTCTACCTGTTTCTTTTCTTTTTCTGGATATCTCTCTCTTGTTTTCTTATTGTTCTTTTTTTTTCACACTTCCGCTTTCTCTGTCGTTCTCCTTCTGTGTTACTTTCTCTCTTTTCTTTTCTGTTTCATTCTTTCTGTGTTGTTGTTTACTCTCTCCACACCCTTTTGCTCCTTCTCACATCGCTTCTTACCTTGTCTTCTCTTTCCACTCTTTTGCTGTACTATGCTACACAAGGCTATCCTAGGCTCTGCTAGTGCGCCTGGATAGTTGAGTGGTTAGGACGCTCACCTTCGGGTCGCTGGTCTGCAGGTTCAAATCCTGCCTTGCAAATACCTTTTTTTTTCTCCCAGGAATTTTTTTGTACCCATCCACTAGGCCATCAGAGTTATTGCGTACCACACCGGACAAATTGGTGCACATTTTGTGGGAGTGAAGCAAATGATAATAAAATGATGATAGGGCATGCTAGTTTTTTGTCAACAACCAAGTCTTATAATGATATTGATGAGATCACAGTCTTGTTGCCAGAATACTTAGCTGCACATTTCATGGTGCTGCTGGGGGTGCAAAGCAGAGGTGTTTGTGTGAAGTGCAGCAGATGGCGCATCTGTTTGCTCGCAAAATCCACTTAATGTTGTCATCTGTGACACTTACTTCTGTCGTCACTCTGAGATTTTCCACCACTTGGTGGAACGTTTCCTTAATTGTGAAAGTCTCCATGGAATTTGGGTAACACTAACTTACTGGGTACACTGTCGTGTGCATGCCGGTCGTTATCAGGGTCCTCAAGAACCACTTTTCACATAAAACTAGGTTAGCATAGAATATATTGGTGCCTAGACTACTTTAATGTTTATTTTGATCGTACTGGCTTCTACTTCTGCTTGTTCAATTGTAGAGTGTGCTGGCACGTGGCCTCTGAGATTGTCCATTAGGGTATCGTTCATTAAGTCAACCATTACCTCAAATGCTAGCCTGCAGTGCTGTTGAGTTCATTCGCTATGCATAATGAAAATATTGCAAAGGAGAGAGAGATTTTTGAATGTTTTTGATATGAAATTCTCTTCTCTATATCACGTACTTTATCTTAGTTCCCATATTTATAAAACCCTTGTCTGCACGTTGATGTTTTCAGACTATTTTTAAGTGTCATAGCAGCATTGAATCTTAACACTGTTTTCTGCACTGGGAGGAGCTCTGGCAGTAGTGAGAACTTCAAAGACGCGCCACTAAGTCACAAATCTATGTGACATTGGCCTACCAATGATGCTAAACATTGCAAAGTTAGACAATGCATGTAGGGCTAGGCCCTAACTAGAAGTTTTGCTATGGCGCTTTTGAGGGGACTGAAATGTGCACGCCGTGGCTTACTGCATGCAACTCTGCTTCTGCTGCAAGATGTGCCATCTTTGCAGGATCGGCCGATAGCTGTGGAGCATAGTAGCGGCGGTGGTGTGCTCAGTTCCAGCCCCTCGTGGCCTGCGTTGCAGCAGGAGCATGCTCAGTTGGCCCAGGGCTGGACCCAGGGTCGGCTGGCGAACCTGGGACCCATACTTAGCGCCGAGGGGCCCCGAGGTGCCTTGGCAAAGGCACTCGACCAGGTGTGCTGGTCAATGCTGTACTTTGTTTGGGCTATTGTGGAATGTCCCCTAGTTTGAAAGAGTGACGACGTTGTGTTACATTATAGCTACAGAAATATAAAAAATAATTCAAGATGATAAAAAATTGGGGATGAGCTCTGGCTGCCAAATATAGTGTTATTTTAATGTGCATAGATATACATGCCCTAGTAATTACTTTGGTCTAAGGTTTTTAATGTCTGTATGCCCGCATGTGTTGAAGAGATTTCGTTTTTATCCCTGAAGTACATGCCTTCTCCCTTTAAGCTTCGATAGGTCACACAAGTGCATGTGATGGTGTATCCTTCCTCCTTTGACCGTGTTTGCTCAGTGGTTTGTGCTGAACTCGTGATTTATGCATGCCAATTTGTGATTACCCTACGAGGTCTGCACTAAGCTGTAGCCGACACAATTGAACTTGTAGTTAGGCACTGAGGTGTGCCTACTCTCAGTGGATCTGATCAACTTTTCTTGTGCCTGCTATCAAAAGAACTGTGCACAACAAACGAAAAGGGTGTCATCAGAGCCTACACTATAAAAACGGCTGCAAGGGACGCATGTGCAAGCGCACTGTTGATAGCGCTCAGTCAAAAGGAAATGGAGCTATTCAACGAGGCTAGGTGACATCGACTGCTAAGGCATCAGAACGCACACATTAGCTTTCCTAAATGTCTCATGTTCAGCTGATATTTTGCCCTGATGTGTTTTGTATTTGTCTTTCTTCGAGCTGTGTGTACAGTTCATTTTGTAATTTGCACCAGCAAAGTCGATTATGTTTAACCAACTAGCCCATTGTCAGGTTTTTACCGAGTGGATCTGGACAAACTTGTAGCTTATGCGTAACTTGTCACCCGAATGTTGACTGTGCTGCAGGAGCTTGCACGCCTTCAGCGGCTAGCCCGCCTGGCACAGCAGCACGCGGCTGCGTCACCATGGCCGGGCCGACCGAGCGGCGCCGACGAGGAAGACCCACGGCTACAGCACATGGGCCTTTTTCTGCTGCTCAACGGCGCGCCTGTGCAGCCGCACCTGCAGAGAGTCTTGCTCGAGCAGTTTTCCCAGCCCGAGTTGGAGAAGGACCCCATCGGGGCACCTCTGAGACAGGTGCGTTATCCAGGGCAGGGAGGGCCACTGCTTTATTCATGGCCGAGCTGAACGTCCAGTGATACCTTTGTTCCATCCACATTGCAAGATACATACGACAGAATGCCCCTAGGACGTCTTTCACAGGACTGCGGAACTAAAAGTTGCGAGGAACTGTGTAGCCTAAACTGGGAATGAAGTGCTGCTAATCATTCAAACAGATGCATTGTTCTCAGCTCTAGCTAAAAAGAAATATAAACCCTTGATGGAAGCCAGGAATTTCTTTCGTGCCAATGCCAAAATGGGCCCTTGTCAAACGTTTGGATGGCCCTGAGGCAGTTCACACAATCTAACTCTTTGGCATACCTCCTGAACACATCCATTGCAGTGACAGTTTGCAACACATGAGGCAGGACAGGTAGAACATCCTGAAAAGTAGATTCTAATACATAGGTGTCTTTAGTTCCTTTTCTGGGACTGAACGCCAGTAACGTTGTATCCAAGAAAACATATAAGTGAGGAATAAATGAGTGGGGATTCTACTGGACTCTGTAGGTAGGCATCGTCACTACTCGATGGCAAGATGAAATCAAATAGACAGTGTACCAACAACACTTTCCACTCTGTGCTCTGACGGCAACATCTATCTGCAAGACAGCTTTCAACTTTAGTGCCAAAAATATCTTTTCAAAATCTCTTTGCTGTAACAACTGGTGCTTGACTGAAAAATCAAGCAGCTAAGCTGGGTGGCAAAAGTTGACAACTAGTGGAGAGAGAAACTGGTGGGCCCCCAAGTTTCGTGCGTGCTCGAGGAGCACCATTCATAACGACACGCTCTGTAAGGGGCTAGAGGTCGATGGCAGGTACGGCGGGTATCTTTAGGGTAATTGGCTCCCCGCCGTCATCCGCATAGCTGATCTTCACCAGTGAGGAGACGCGTTCATAGAGGCAGAACGAAGGTTTCTTTACATGATGGAAGAGAAACGAAACTGTACAGTGATTCAGCACCCATGTACGAAAAAACTTCGGCTTTTATAGCCCGTCGATTCCTAACACGTTAGTCCGAAGAAGGCGGTGACCTCTGTTGCCACGAATTAGGTGACGTTAAGTCTTAGTGATTCGCCTACCAGAAAGGGTGCAGATATTGGACCACTCGGCTGAAGAGGAACATGGGCGAAAACGTCCAATGGGTAACATGAACACTCACCACACAATAACCAACCCGGCCCATACCTTCAAGACATCGCAGGGCAAGGAGGTAGAGTTCGGTGGAGGGGGAAAGTTGAGCTCCTCCGGGGAGAAGATGGTTGCTGACACAACGCCTTCCCACGCTTCTGGACTGTCGGTTCTTTGTCACTACCTCGCGTAGGCGACAATGGTTGTGTGAAGAGGTTGACTCTATGAGAACTGCAACAGTGACGCCGTCTCAAGCTGTTCGACCCCGCTCAACAAAGGGTTGTTCGCGGAGCTTCTGTTGAGTTCATTGTGACCCGACTATAGTGAACTTCTTGGCTCACCTGCAGGACAGCGTCGTGCCTGATGCTTCCGACCGGGTGCCAATATGGGGGTGAAAGCATTCCTGCAGATCAACTCACGCACAATGGCGTCTGCTAAGACAAACTGCCGTGCCAAACGTAACAACACCCATCTGCTATTGAACTCTGATTTTCCTAGGCTTGTCAGAATTTCAGGTTTGAAGCGAATTCGAATTGTATATACAGTCGATCCTGGTATCGAACCCTCGATTGTGGGGATCGCAATAGTTCGATATACTGAGAATTCGAAAATACAAAATATGCATATATAAGGCCTAAATAAAGCATTTCAGGACTATGGAAATCGTTACTAGCCTTAACATAACGATTCACTCACCAGTCATCCTTAATATCACTGAAGCATTTCAAATAAGCGAATTCAGTTCTTTTGGCCACAACAGCGTTGCTTGATGCAGAACGCCGATGCAAGCTTTGTAGCATGGCAAAAGGTTGGTTAGTGGCGGCAGCGAAGGCGTTGGCACATTCATAAGCGCACGGGTACACTTCCGTGGCAACGATAGCCATGATTTCAGCGTCAATGCAGTCAAAAACAGCTACGTTGTCATATGTACCGATGAAGTCGCACACTCTCCAGGGCGATCCCCAAAAATGCTGATAATTCGCAGAATTCGCTGAGGCACCGTACGTCATTATCAGCAGTCATGACGCACTCGAGGTTGTCCCCTGGCATCCAAGGAAAGTTTACGGTGGTGCTTTACTTGATGTCTCTCCAAGTGCCAGTCATAATGTTTATCGCTACGTACGGTTCAACGTACAGTTTAACTCCCGAATCAGGATTTATCAGGAACGAGGCGAGAAGTTCACAAGTCCAGAAAGTGCAAAAGTATAGCTAACTACAGTTAAACCTGGATATAAAGAAATTAATAAATTCTCAGTAAAATTCATTATAAAGAGGTTTTCGTTATATCCAGGCTTCGTACGAAAATTCGGAAAATAAATGTGCAAATTAAACAAAAGGTGGACTGAAGGCAGAGAGCTAACCCAAAACACTCATTTTACAGTGAAAAACTGCGTTATTATAGTGATTATATGGACCCTCTCGGCTGGTTCTTGCTGTCGCTGCCATGTTCCGCAACAAGTCCAAATCGACAGCATGTCCCCGAGCATTGTAAGTTTCACAAGTGGGTAAAAGTGCGCAAGTGCTGCTGAAGCAGAGATTACGTGAGTCGGCCCATCCCTATCGCCTGGAAAGTGCATAGCATCTCCCGCGTATTCGAACTGCCATCGAATAACCACCTGTAAACCACCTGTCTTAGACGAGCATGGTATGTGGGGAGGGGGGGATTCGCTCAAGTAGCAATAACAAACTTGGAATTCAAGGGTCGTTGTGATCACTGGCGCGCTTGCTATTTCGGCGAATATCAGAGCGATTTTAACGCGAAGGGACTATGTGAAAAGAGCAAACACAATCGTTCCGGTCAAAGTCTAAGGCGCGTGATTTACCCCACCGAAGGATAAATGTACGCGCACAGGCATCTAACCCCCCTCTCCCCCCTCCGCATACCCGAAGCTAAGGTGGGAGATATAAGGTCGGCACATGGTGACGAGCTGAGCGCCGAGTGTGGGCGGCTTTTTTTTTTTTTCTTGAGTTTCCATATATATAGGTACGTATACTATACGCTGAATGAAGGCGGTGGCGGCAAAAACCTAGCCGAAACTGCCCATATACATAATTGATATCGCAGTAAAAAAAAAAGCAAAGCTAAACGTCGTCGGGGGACACAGACACACACCATGCGCATGCAGTAAAACTATGCACGCGCACACCACGTTGAAAATGAAGAGCGAAGACCTGGACACAAGCACAATTACCGCGGAAACTATTCGATAAAGCGCCCTTCATATACAGCGCGGCCCCACATATGTGACGCTAACTAAAAGCGTGGCGCTTCCAACGCGCAAAAGTAGTTTTTTTTATTATCTTGGTTTGTAAGGGGGAGTGGGCACACTCGCGCATGCGACTGCGGGGGCGAGAAAGGCGGCAACGCCGGCTCGTGTGGGGTGCAGGCCCGCCTCACGCGGACGTGGCCCGCGTGCTCGCCGCTACCGCTTCGGCAACGGCAGGGCAACGGCAGATACTGGCTCGTACCAAAATGCCAAAATGCGGAGCGAAATTCCAAGATTGTTCATGGGGAAAATTCGTTATATCGAGGTTGTCTCTCGCAGTTACTTTGTTGCATAGAGGTCGCAAATACATGTGCTCTTATGGAGTGAAGGCGGGAAATAGAAAAACTTCGTTATATCCAAGAATTCGTTATGTGGAGGTTCGTTATAAGTAGGTTTAACTGTATATGCAAAAGACAACGTCGAGTTTATACAGTTGACATGTTGGCGATATCAATGTCACTTGTGCCTTTGTAGCTAGATGTCAGCCGCTGCTTTCAGCTGCTTTGATGTGAAAAGCTAGAAGAAGCGTAGCCTCTGAGACGTGCGTATTAAAACCGAAAGCACTAAAAATACGTCACCAGGTTGCACATCTCGTAGGCCACGCTTTTCAGGCGCGCATGCCATTGTGCGCTAACAAACAAGGAAGGGAATGTGAACACTTCCCACTCCTTTCCTTTGGATCCTCATTTTGGTGTCCTCGGCAGTTCGCCTTTTTGAAAAACATTATGCCCGCGCGCTTGGATGTGCAGATTGAGTACCAAACATATTGGTGATTTGCAAGTGCCACGCAACGAACCAGATCGGCGCAATGGAATAACACAGTTTTTTCGTCACCTGTGCGCAAAAAAGGATGGGAACTTGTTAAAATGCGGCTGAAAATTGATCAATATTTGGTAGGAAAAAGGCACTTTGTGGGCTTCGGTGCAGCGCAGCGTTCGATATGGCGGATGTCCTGTTGTGTAGAAGTTCGATATACCACGGTCTCATTTTTGCATGGGAAATTCAAGGGGATTTTTCAACTGTCCGATATAGCCAATAATTCGATATATCAGAGTTTGATGTATCCAGGATCAACTGTATCGCATAATATAAAGAAAAATGGGCATAATTGTTGTAACCCAACTAATCTGCACAATATTTAAAAAAAATTGAAACAAGGGATGTGCAACCATCATTGTTGTTTGCTTCACAAACTTAAAAAAAGCATGAGTCGATGCGAGGGTGATATTTACCCTTGAAGTGGGGCTTTGCGGCAGTGTATATTTTTCTGAAAAAGGTGTATTCACTGTATAGCACTTGTGATTTGCAGTGAAATGACCTTTACAGGGGGTTGCATGCGAACCCAATTCGTTTATTTCGAATACTTTGAAATTTCCAATAATTTAAAATAAAATACATTAATATCATATTTATTTGCATAATAATGCACTCACATAATAAGTGCACCCTCAATTTTGGTCGTGAAAATTTTGATTTTTTCCCCTGTAAAATAAATGCACCCCCTCCATTCATCCACAGCAGTCTCGCTTACCGACACATGGCACCTCCTTGTCCGTTGGATCTCTTCTGTTTTTTTTATTATTATGCTGACCTCTGGCCACTTCGGCTTGCTCCCTCCACCCCTTCACCCGCTGCTCCGTGTCGTATTGTTACTTGCGGCATGTCCCCTGTTTTCTTTAATTTTATGTGTGCCACAGCAAGGGTTAATAAACGGTGCGAGTACAGAGACATCGCAGCTGACAAAGCACACTGCGAGTGAAGGTCATGAAGCTGCCCACACCAACCAACGGTGGCTTCCTGTTAATACGAATGTTTAACACCCAACCATACGCACCCGATTTTTGAGCCGTGACGATAGGATTTGCTGTCGCCATGGCTGTCATGAAGCACCATTCTTCGCCAAACCAGAAAAATCGCTTCTCGCCCAGAAAAGAGTGTGACGATTTCGGCAACATGGCGGCACCCGTGATTCTCGCTTCCGTGCAATTTGCTCTTCTTGCTTGTTATCCAGGTGTACTTCAAGGAACGCAAGATATAAGCTACCTTTGCTACATTCACTTCTCATGTGGACAGCGAAGTGACGGCCGTATTTAGTCGTTGAGCATGTTATCAACGGTTTGTTTTGATGCTTCATTGGTTCGTTGCTTCAATGTCGCCGTTGAGATCGTCGTGTGAGATTGGCATGGAGTTGGCAAAGTGTGTCGTAGCACACGCTTCTGGGCGCCCCTAGAAATCACGGCAGATACCACTGTTGCGAAAGAAAGCCACAAAATACTTTTATGGCGTGGGTGGACGACGCAGAAACAGCTTGCAGAAGATAGCGCCATCAATTACCAAAGATGAGTGAAGTGCAACATAGGAGCTATTTCGAAACAGTGTACGCGTATGCCAGTTATGCTACCTAAGTTTCTGTCGCATTACTGCATTTTTCGCTCGTCTCAAAACAGTTTTTATAAAATTTGCCCCGCATAATAAATGCACCTGCAGCCTTGCTTTGATATATAGGGAAAAAAATGCATTCACTATGCGAGGGCTTTATGTGGTACCATATTTACTCGTTTAATGAACCCACTCCCTCCTCAGTCATTAAAAAAAAAGATTGTTAAAATATATTTGTTCATTTTATTTTGTGGTGCGCATTCGTTACGGGAGAAAACAAGAAGAGGTTTGGGCTACCAAAACGATTTGTCGCCTATTTCACGGACCATGACAAGCAAAACTGTAATGCCAAATTTTCGCTGTTAATTCGCCCGTGACTTTTTTTTCTCCTGCGTAATGAACCCTCCCCCCAAATTGGCATCAACATTTCTGAAAAAAAAAAGGGGGGGGGGGGTCGGTTCATTACGCGAGTAAATATGGTATTTATTTGAATATTTGCACATCAAGATTTTTCACATAGTGCGAGTTGCTTTAGGAACAATTTCTGTTTCAGAATTTATTTGCCCTCCCATAAACATTCACTGTTAATAGAAAACTAACATTCATGTGCTTCGGGCACTTCTAGCTGCTTGTGCTGTGGGTGACTACCGTATTCTCACATGTATAACACTCCCCTGCATATTATCCGCACCTCCACTTTCAGCTTGCTGAGAAAAAAAAAAAACAATCTTCGCGCATTGTCCGCACATTTGATATGCAGAAAAGGCTGTACAAAAGCTGCTGCTCAAGCAGTAGAGAGCCTTTGTTGCTTCATGAGGCAGTGCAGCCATCTGTGGCTCGCATGGAATCTGGGAGGTAGGCCTAGCTTTCTCGGCAGTCCCTGCGCTTCCGCTTAAGCCATCTCTGCCTATATGGCGTGACCCCTGCTTCGCACATCTTCGATCAACTTTACTAGCTGCAGCTCCAGTTCAGGGTAGGCGCCGGTCTTGGGGCCACCAAAGAACTTATAATCGTGGTGCGCGGTTTGTAGGCTTTCTTTTTTTTTTCCACTCGCACGCAGGACTCATGCACATCATGCCATCTTCCCACTTCGCGATTCCTGAATTCCTCGGCGACGGCAATGATCTTAAGCTTTTGCTGTGCACTGAAGGACTGCCGCCGCACGCTGCTCATGATGACAGAACAGATAGAGTTAGGCTTGTTGAATGGGTGGAAATTTAGAGGACAAGTGATATCAGCAAGGTAAAAAGAGCTCACACTTGGTGGCAACTTTTCTTAACAGCACTGTGGAAGCAACAAAACCGATATCCATGCCTACTACTGCGCCAAAAGTAGTATCGTATTTACTCGCATAATGAACCCACCCCCCAACTTGCCCTTAAGGAAGGGAAGATATTTCTTTAAGTGTATTTATTCATTTTATTTTGGTATGAGAACCAGTGGCATTGACGATCGAAACAACCTTAAATCAAGCCATTATATCATAAAATAATGCACAATAAAAGTAAAAAAACATAGTTCAAAAGCCATGCTAAACAGTTGTGAGCAGCGCAAGCTTGGATGACGTCAATCAAAATTTCAATGTCGCGCCTTTTGTGGCAGAATGCTATCTGTCGAATACAGGTAGCACAGCAGCAAAAAAACAAAGCGCATGACCTCAAGCTTTTTATCTAGGTAAACATGACATTCGGGATGTAGGGGCATGCTCAGGGGGGTGGAGGGTCACTGTGGCCGCGAGCGTCTAAAAGCATACTGGTAATGTGACAGTGAGGTTTACAATGAAGAATCTAATTGTCTCTCAAAATGTTTCCCTAAACGCTTCGATGATAAAAGGAAGCAAAACCGAAATTGGCAACAAGCTATTGTACTACTTGCAAAGCAACAGGAATTTGCGGAAACCGCTTCCGTAGCCTTCGCTACATTGTTAGAGGCTTCATGGCACAATACGCATTGCTGTGAAGCAGCACTAGGAAAAACGTCGCATACATTCGCACCCCCACTTGGCCATTGAAATGTTTGGGTTTTTGGTACAGGTTATACGCGTGAAAATATGGTAAGTGGGCCCTGCTGAGGCATTGGCATGCGGACAGTGCTGCCCCAGAAAACCAGTCAACGACAAACGGCATCCAGCAGCAGACAAAACACTTAGAGTAATTTTGTGGCCCGTTCAGAGAAAGAAATTTGCCAAGACTGGTATGGCTGTTGCGTTTGCGTAGTGCATTGCATAGATGTGTGAACATTTTTCATGGCATTTGTCTTAGATAGACCTCTGCTCGTGAGCGCCTGTTTTCGGTTACAGTATTGGTTGGCGCACGCACTACACTTCTAAGAAAGATTTGTTGGTGTTATAGATAGTAGACTACTCTTGCGTTTAAATCCTGCAGACAATGAAATGTCAAATCATGTTGAAGGGCAGTGCTTTAATTTTTCTTCAACATAAAGCTGCTTTAGTTTGGTTTTGGGTAAATTAGCTAGGCCAGAGCCTTAGTATCTCGATAACGCTGATAAACTCATTGTTTTTTCTACATATGTAAAGTGGGTGTGCATTTTAAGTGCTAACGTTGCTTTACCGAGCAATTGGGTAGCAAATTTGACCATTGTGTTCGTCAGGGCTGCATCCAACATGAAAGCGCATTTCTCACATGCCAGTACTGAACCTAAACATTTTGGTTTTACTGCGTTATGCTTGTTGATCTGCTTTATCAAGTGAGTTGTATGGCAGCCTGTCTGTAACAGCAGCAGTAACTTCCAACGCTCTCCAGGAGGCCCTGCGCTGGCTCTCAGAGCTGTCTCCGTCGGGTGCGGCTGGGGACGTGGAGGTTGAGGCGATGTACCGAGGATGGCACATGCTGTACTGCCGCTTTCGGCATCTGGCCAGCGCCCTAACCGTCGGACTAGAGCACTTCTGGACGCACCGGCTGCCCTCGGCTGTCCACCTGCTGGGGGCCGCGTGCACCATCAACGAGGCCCTGCTCGCCCGTCCACCGCCTGCTGAACCCCACTCTCGGTACCTTGGTTTCGACCCGAGGCTGCTGGCGTACTGCCGACGCATGGCACTGCTGGTACGATTCTTTATATAGCATATGTTGGAAATGCTAATGCATTAGCACTGTTGCCAAACAATAATTTCCTCACAACACTGAACTCTGTTTGCTTCACCCTATCGCAATAAATATGGTAACAATAGACAACTGCTTGGTAAAACTGCCTTAGATACGTGGTGTCCTTTGAACAGGAAGGCACAAAAAATTAAATACGAACTTTGTTATGTCAAGAGTTTTGATATACAGTTAAACCTGGAGATAACGAAATTGACAAATTCCCCAAAAGATTCGTTAATAAAGAGCGTTCCTGTATCTGTGCAGGTTCGATATAGAAATTTGAAAAATAAATGCACAAATAAACAAAAGGTCAACTGAAGGAAGAGTTCACCCAAAACACTTATTTAGTGATAACAAAACTGCGTTATTATGGCGATAGATATTATATGGACACTCTTAATGGGCTTTTGCCATCAGAACCATATTCTGTAACAAGTTCGAATTGATAACATTGTGAGGAATAAGAGGGAGTGCCGGTAGGCTGGGTGTGAATCTCTGAGGCTGTGCGTGGTTGACGGTGGAGGAACAAGGTGGCGTGCGCGAGTGTCACGTGAACAGTGAAGGGGTCTCTGAGGCTGTGCGTGGTTGACAGTGGAGGAACGAGGTGGCGTGCGCGATTGTCACGTGAACAGTGAGGGGGCGCACGGAAAGAGGGAGAAGGGGACGGGGCGGTCGAGGTCGGGACGGGTGCGGTCGGAGTATGGCACGAGAAATAAATGGTTGTGTGAGCGTGGTTGCCTGTCGTGAAGTGTATCGTCGTGCGTGATAAGTGGGGGCTCGTCCGGGATCGACATGGCAACCGGAATGGACAGCGTGAATGTGCCGGAAGAGCTGCTGCAGCACTTGCTGGGACAAACAAACGGATCCGCCATACAGCGCGAGCAAATCGCGGCTGCCGTCAGACAAAGGCTTATGACGGCCGAGCCCATGCCTGCAGGCGCCATGACAGCAGCGGCGGCGGCGGCGATCCAGCTGGCGATTGACTGCGCTCCCCGGGCCTCGGGAAGTCAGCCCCCGCGGTTCGCTGGATTCGGCGATGCGCAGTCACCCGAAGAATTCCTGGACCGCCTCGAGACCTTTTGCTTGGTGACTGGTGTCGCCGCCGACAAGAGGCTCACGCATATCGTGCCCGCTGCGCTGGAGGGGAGCGCGAAGTTGTGGCTGCGCTTCGTCAAATCATTTGCATCCTGGGATGACTTCAAGGCGGCGTTCGTTGCGGAATTTTCGTCTATTGATGCGAAGCGGCGCCTGAGGCAGGAGTTGGAGCTCCGCACTCAGCACCCCGAAGAAAATTTAAAAGAATTTATCTACACGATCGCGGAATTCTATGACAGGATCGGCGGCGAAGTGTCGGACACAGAAAAAGTCGACCGTGTGTTGCGGCAGATGCACCCGCAGCTCCAGGATTTGGTGGAGGGCAAGCAGTTTGCAACTCTCGCGGAGCTGGCAAGGGCCGCTGACGGCCTCATGGAGCGGTATTGGAGGCGATTCCAGTACAAACCACCGCCACCCCCAACCGATCAAGTTGCGAGGGACCTTGCCTTCCGGCCTGCTGGGAATACGGCTGGCCTCAGTGGCCTGTCAGGAGCGCAGCCCGGAGTAATGGCGGCGGCTGCGGCGCCGTTCCAGCATCCGTCGGCAGCATCATACTGGCCGTTGCACCCCGCTGCGATACAGCCGTCCTACTACCGGGACCAGCTGCACAGATCACCTGCTCCACATGTTCCCACGCCACCACAGCCGCAGCGATACCAACTGCTCGACGGCGGGGCAATTACGTGCCACCGCTGCGGAGGCATAGGCCACATGGGTCGCGAGTGCCCTTCGGGTCGGCGTAACGGTCCGCCCCGCTGCTATCAGTGCAACAGAATCGGGCATATCCGCTCCCAGTGCCCGGGAAACGGGAGACGGTAGGTGCTACTCCGGCGAGCACCTACGAGACAGCGCTGCGGATAGCGGCTGTGGCCGGCAACAGGGAGCCTCTCCTGGAGGTGCGGATTGGGCGGACCACATTCCTGGCCCTGCTAGATACAGGGTCCAGTGTGAGTTTGCTTGGTACGCCAGCGGCAAGGGTAGCGGAGGCGACGGGCGCCAAACACCGGGTACAAGAAAGAGCTCTTCGACTGGCCACAGGTTGGTCACAGTCAAGCACATCCTTAAAGTGCAAGATACATTGGGCCTCAAGCAACCGCATCCAACGCTTCCTGTGTGTGCCAGATTTGTGTCGGGACATTGTGCTTGGCAGAGACTTTTTGACTGCAACAGGCATGTCCCTACATGTGGCGTTGTCGGGGTGGACTATTGGAACTGATCCGCAGTGCATTGTGCCATTTGCTAAGCGCGACAAGGATATAACCGCCGCGCTCGCGATAGAAAATAGTGAATCTTATTGCTTGCAGGGCCTATTTGAGGAAGTGCTTCTGGTCCCGGGCATTGGGCACACTATTCCAGCTGAAGGCATACCAACCATGAATAAGGTGCTCGATGACTTCTCTCATTTGTTCACTACCATTCCTGGATGTACCGCCCTCGCTCAGCACTGCATTGACACTGGAGATAGTGCACCTGTGAGATGCAAGCTGCGCCCAGTAAATGCAAAAAAGCAGAAGATCATTGAAGACTGCGTAAATGACCTTTTGGAGCAGCGCCTTATAAGACATAGCACCAGCCCTTGGACTAGTGCCCCAGTGCTTGTTGCCAAGAAATCTGGTGGCTACCGGCTTGCTGTGGACTATCGGCCGTTAAATGCACGCACCCGCATACCTGCCTACCCAATGCCACGAACGGACTGGCTGCTAGCACAATTGGGTCGTGCAAGGTGGTTTTCGAGCTTCGACCTTTCCCAGGGTTTCTTTCAGATCCCTGTGTCTGAGGCCGACATAGAAAAAACAGCCTTCATCTGCCACCAGGGCACATATGAGTTCACGAGAATGCCCTTCGGGGTGGCAGGTGGCCCGGCAACGTTTCAAACCCTGATGGACCGGTTGTTGCACGGCATCAATCACAGCTTCGCCATGGCTTTTCTGGATGATGTTCTCGTCTACTCTGAAGATCTGGAGAGTCATGTTGAGCATGTTAGGGAAGTGTTGCAGCGCATTGGCAATGCTGGCCTTACGATTAACCCTGATAAAATGCAAGTCTGCCGTCAGTCCCTTAAGTTCTTGGGCCACGTCATCTCCCCTGGGCAGTGCAGACCAGATGAAGAGAAAGTGCGGGCGGTGCTGGATTATCCGCGACCTAGCACGATTAAACAGTTGCAGGCTTTCCTGGGACTTGCTGGTTATTACCGCAGCTTCATACCGCATTTCTCACTGACGGCACATCCACTCACTGTCCTTCTGAAGAAAAGCGAGCCATGGCGGTGGGATGAGCGTCAAGAGGAAGCCTTCACTGCGCTCAAGCAGTCCTTGGCTCATGATGCAGTTATGAGCCTTCCAGATCTCAATCGACCCTTCGTGGTTGAAACGGATGCAAGCGGCATTGGCATTGCAGCTGTCCTACTGCAGGCTGGCCCCGACGGACTGCAGCCCATTTCCTTCATCAGCAGGGTTCTCACAGAAGCCGAAGGCCACTATACTGTCCAGGAGTGGGAATGCCTTGCAGTGGTGTGGGCTGTGGACAAATTCAGGGCGTATCTCGAGTTTACAAACTTTGAGATACACTGCGACCACTCTTCCCTGTCGTGGATGTTCAGCACCGACCAAGCTTCGCCCAGGGTCAAACGCTGGGTCCTCCGGTTGCAGGGTTTCAACTGCCGAATCAGGCACAGACGGGGGCTGGCAAATATACCTGCAGATGCCCTGAGTAGAGCCCCCCTTCAATGTGAGGACCGTCCCAGCGACAGCTTGCACGAGAAACTGCTTCCTATTGCTGCACAAGAACCTGAAGGGAAAATTACATTTGAGCAAGTGGCAGTTGCCTTGGAAGATGATATGACTGCCTTAAGTGACACCGCGCAACTCGTACAAGAGCAGGCTCGTGACAGTCGTCTGTCAAAACTGAAAACTGTGGTCCAGGGGGTTATGCTTCCAAATTCAGACCCTGATCATCGCCTTCTCCATGATCTGGCGGAAACAACAGAACTAGAGCCAAGTGGCCTGCTTGTTCAGCAAAGAGGCAACAAGAAGGTACCATGGCTGCCCTCTCACCTCCGGCACCTGGCATTGAAAATGGCGCATGACCATCCCACTGCGGCCCACGCTGGATTTTTCAAAACCTTGAGACGTGTAGCAGCACGATTCGTCTGGCTGGGCATGCGGGCGGACATATCAAGGTATGTGCAGGGCTGTGCTATATGTCAGCGCACAAAACCCAGGCGCAAAAAGCCTGAAGGCCTGATGAGCAGTCAGTGGGCAGCAGCACCGATGGAGGAGCTTAGCGTTGACATTATTGGACCCTTGCCGCCTACACCTCGTGGCCACAAATACTTGCTCGTAGTCATTGACAAGTTTACTAAATTCCCAGAGCTATTCCCTCTACGAGCAGCCACCAGTGCAAAAGTACTTGAGTGCATGCTTCAGGTCTTCTGCCGCCATGGGACACCAGTGGCAATCACCAGTGACAATGGGAAGCCCTTTGTCAGCACATTATGGCGCAACCTCCTGAAACACTGGGGAATCAGAGATCGGCATACTGTGCCTTACCGGCCGGCTGGACAGATGGTGGAGCGTCATAATGGCACAATTAAGCAATGTCTACGAGCCTACTGCACTAACCACAAAGACTGGGACCGTCATATACCCGAGATCAGCCTTGCCATGCGTACTGCAGAGAGCGTAGTCACCGGATATACTCCGGCATTGCTTTGCTATGGTCGAGAGTTGCGCACTCCGTGGGAACCTGCAGGGGACAAGGAGGACACGGAACCTCCAGAGGCAGCGCACCATGCCCTTGTTGCAGAACTCCAGCAGTGCCTTGGAGAAGCCCTGAAGTACACCAAGAAGCATCAAGCAGCTGCCTGG